AAGATAGCAGTACCACGTTAATACGTCGGTAGGCAACAGGAAGCCATTGTGTAGGGCAGATATCCATTCATTCACTTCTAACGATGCTTGAGGAAGTCGAATGCATGGCATGTCTATCACAGGCTGATCGACGCCGAAAGCCCTATTCTTTTATCCCTTAATTCTTGCAAACGACTAGTATTAAATATTACTGCGGAAGTCATTACGTATATTAAGCGGCTTATGGAGACGATTCTCTCTGCATTTCAGTGGGTGGGAAATGGCTTCCACGATCCAGAGTATCTTAACAATGCACACTGCGCTCTGGCAACTCATTCGACACTGATGATGACCATAACCTCGAAGATTATCATCTAACAACCAATGAATTCCTAGAAAAGATACGGGTTATAGGGGGCCAATCGCCCGACACCTGCACTCAATCAGAGTGACACAAAATTTTGGAGCCAAACCATCTGACCGCCAGTGACAAATGCGGTCATGATGGGTGTTCTCTTCCCGAACACGATAGCTAACGTCTTGTCCAGTAACACAATTCCTTAAACCTGAAGATCATGACAGAGGGCAAATGGTGTTCCACATATCAATATGAGTTTCCCTTTTCAAAATCTCGTAACTGAAATACGATAACCTCTACAAAGACAAGAAAAAAGTTTCAAAAATCAATTTAGACGCCTTTGTGAAAATAACCATTGGAAAAATGCTTATGGCATCTCCGGTTGAAAAAAAGAAGCTGCACATAAAATGTAACAGCAGGTCACCAACAATCTTGCGAGTTTTTAAAGAGTTGTCAAGAAAACCAAGCAGTGAGCAAACTTATGCCAGAAATTGCATCCTTCCAAGTTGAGAGAAGTTGAGAGAAGTTTAGAGCATAAACAAGTCTTTGTAAGAAACCTTATTATTGCAATAAAATACTGAAGAAGGATCGTGTAATATTTAATGCCTGCATATTAGGTTGACTGTTAGCAGTAGCCTAAACAAAGTGGAAATCTGCATAAAAGAGCAAATCACTCTTTTACGGTAGTATATAGTGTGCAAATAAAGGTATAGAAGTCAAAGAGTTAAATTTGGTCTAAACAAGCGCTATTATGCAGAGACATAGTGTCGATTGTTATCTGAGATCTGACAGTGTCGTAATGGTGGTCAGTTTCTCCTTTCTTAAAAGATGATCGAGAGTAGTGTTTGGTTAAAAAAAACGTATGAGAAATGCGGTAGCCCTGTGATATATTCACTTTAAGGCTCTGAAATTCTGAAATACTCTAGGAATCGAGAAAATTTCTAAGTAATCGGATAACCAGCTTCGTCATGAAGGTGTTCAAAAACACTAGCAGTTCCTAGCATATTAACTCTCGCGCCGACGCCTAATTTTTCGCTGCACTCATATTCGTATCACACCGGCCACTCCAGCACTTTTTATGTAGCTCTGCCCCATTGGTTATGACTTCCGTTCTATAAATCGTTTTTCTCTAAGTTTTGAAACAGCTTCCGCGCTTCACTTATCCTCCAGGTTCTCTATACATCATTCCATGTTTTTGGTGCATATACAACTCCCGTGTATGAAGAAAAAACACTCGTCCACCATGCAATCGGTACTGCTGTCAACGTTTAATGAAGTTGCATAAGTTCCACAAGGGATATTACGGTGTTCATCTTTCGGTTTTGATAGCCCCTCATCCCAAACGGTAGCTAAAGTCATCATGGCGATGGAAACTCAAAAAACAACGAACTGTTTATCAAAAATGATGCCGTCCAGTACTTGCATTTCTAGTTCTTCGACGCAGAAGCAATCCTGCGCCTCTTTACTGGCCACGCTCTATTGGCCACATACTCTCTCCGACACCTACAGTCTCTCGCCGCAAGATGGTAAATTAGTGGAGGCATTGTTAGGTAGACAGCCTCCCATGGTCGACGCCAGCCATTTCATCTGGGTCGAATAAGCTATTGATTGATTAATACAAGCGTGGGAAAAAACTTGTGCACAAAAGTAAGCCATCGGAAAGAAAATGACACCTATAGGCGTCTTGCCAGCCACTTCCTGAAAACCATTACGACATCTACAGGTGTCATTCATGGTGAGAGTGTTAAGCTATTTCTGTGATTAGCCTGTGGATTACTCTTAAATAAACCAGAGAAGAGCGTTTAAGCTTTCTATTTAAATTAGCTGATATTGGTTTCTCGTTCAAACCATTTGAACTACACTACCTTAAGAAGCACTTTGACTAATTGTTCAAAATGTTTTGTTCACATTCCCTATTGAAATCAAGCACCGCCCACAATCAGCTAAACCGAGAGGAGAAGATTCTTGAGTATCTTCGAGTTGCGACTACAAAAAGTTGCAGCAATTCCACTAACCGATATTTTATTAATCTCGACGTCGATCAATAAACCACTGTTTTCTTGACGAACAGATTCGAGATTTCAATGATGCTGAGATATTTGCAAAACAAAACAAAACTTGATATTTGCAAAGGACAATAGCGCGTTCGTTCCCCACCGCAGACCCCTGCGGTCCGGAGTTTTGCAGATACCTCAGCATCATTGAAGTCGTATTTCGCAATATGCCCTGCCGTTAAAAAGAGTAGGAAGTAAATAATAAGTTAAAAATTGAGACTAGAGGTTGTTATTATACTGCTTATCTCTTCACGATAACTGACGTGGCAGATTTCGCGGTCTTCAGAACCTGGAAAGATCCATTTGGTGGCAATGCAGTAAGCCAAATAGAAGATAAATATAAACTTCTTCTTAAGAATTTGAAGAAATTGTCTCCAATACGACTGAATCTTAGGTGTAGGGTACTTCTTTTGAGGTTATAGGGACCTTTCTAGGCTCTGAAGGAAGCGAAATCGGTCGAAATGTCAGATATCGTGAGGAAATGGATGGTACAACAACAAATTCGAATCTGCTCATGAGAAATACAGAGAGTAAACCATAAGAAGCCCTAGTTCAGCCTGTAGATAACCACTGTTAGCCGAATCAATCGCGAAGAGTGGCAATCATGCGAAGATCGGACGAGTTACCCTCGCTGCTTTCAGTGGGGTATTGACAAGCGAAGAGCTCCGGCGTTGTGAGATTCGGGTCGAAACCCGCAAACTTCCAAGTCCTGTGATGAGCGGTACGTCATTCTAGAACGCTGACACAAATGGTCCTCGTAATCTCATTAGGAGTAAGTACTTGTGGTGTTTTAGTGCTCGGCATTTTTTGTCATGGTCTTATTTTGCTGCACACAATAGTGTCTGACAAGACCTTGCTTATCTTAAAAGGCGCTGATACTGGATGGTGTTGGATTTTTATCCCAATATTTCTTGGTCTAACATCTCTTCTCCTCAATGAACTTTCCCAGAAAAACTTTCTATCATATATGTCAAGAAATCTGTGTGGTTGGAAACGAATTTTTTCTGCATTGGTCACGTTTTCCTTTTTTTTCGTGCTATCTTACAACCCAGTCTTGGTGAATAGATATTGGATTATAATCACAATCTTAACCTTTTCATTTACTGCCTACTCTTTTTTTAGCGGTAGGGTACACATTGTGAAATACAACTTCAATGAAGCTGAGATATTGGCAAAACTCCGGACCGCAGGTGCTTGCGGTGAGGAACGAACGCGCTATTGTCCTTTCCGGGGAATAACGCGTTCACCACCACACCATGCGGGTCCTTCGTTTCGCTTCCCTCTCAGATAGTTCTATCGATCTTTTGCCATCAGCAACAGCAGTTATATTTCGCAAATATCCTGCCGTTAAAAAGAATAGGCAGTAAATAAAAGGGTTAAGATTGTGATTATAGCTATAACCTCAGCTTAACTGGGTTCAGTGCCGATTTGGGCTTCCCAGATCAATCCTGTTGACAGGTGATTGCTGATGGCAAAAGATCGATAGAACTAGCTGAGAGACAGGCGGAACGAAGGGCTCACATGGTGTGGTTGTGAACGCGTTACTCCCCGGAAAGGACAATAGCGCGTTCGTTTCCCACCGCAAACACCTGCGGTCCAGAGTTTTGCAAATATCTCAGCATTATAGTAGTTAGATGTAGGGTTATTTTAAAGGTCAGGGGAGACCAAATATCTTATAGCCAGGATCATCTGTTTATAAGCAGTTCTTCTTGACCCAAATTTATTTCACTAAGTTTATGCCATGAGGAGGCCGAAGGTCACCAAAAATACGGGTAAGGATAATCGAAAGTACGAGAATACCCTGTCGACCATGGTTTTGAGAATTGTTAGGTTTGGCCTGGTAGTTATTATTTATTTCCTTTGTAGTTGTTTTATTCTTTTCTTAAACCTAGAAGAGATTATATCTCTATATCAATCGATAATGGAGTTGTTTCAACGTAACTTTGTCTCGATGTTGCTTTGCTTTTTCGGCTTTAGATGTATATCCCTCTTTTTTGAGATATGGTAATGACCCGGGCCAGCGTTGCTCGTGTCGAACGAGACCGACGGGATAGGTAAGTGTTCTTTCACTCCAAAGTCTTTATAACATTGAGATGTACTATTGTTCAGATACACTTATGCACCACGGAGTCAGCCCCTTGTCACAGACACCATTGGCTACAAATACATCGATTCCTACCTCGAGGTAATGGCTGTCTTCAAAAGAGTAGTTCTTTTCTTAAATGTTTCTTAAAAAAGAGCGCGTGTGACGCAGTGCTTGGAGGCGTCCTGCAATATACATGGGTCGATTCCCGCGCCCCTGGCCCACCAAGGATTCCATCCCCGTGTGAGGTTGGCAAACAGATTTGTCTGGGAGGATAGCGGCACTGCCTCGATACATCAGTAGGCCACCGCGATTCATTCTATAGGCCAAATATACATACATTCACCTCTAAAGATGCTTAATGAAGTCCGGTGCATGGCGCATTCCTAAGGGATTGATCAATGCTGAGAGCTTTATCCTTTTATCCTTCTTAAATGTGTTTCGAATGATTCATGAATTTATTACACTTGGCATTGTGGGTGATTCTATAAGTTGCTTCTAACGTTTCGTTTAGTATGACTGTTTAATGACCGCGGAAGAACTTCGTCGTCTTTCTGAGCATAAGTACTCTGCTGTCGATACAAGTTGGTTGGACGAACTTTGTATGAAGTATTTTTGGGATTGGATAGTGAAATTTTATCCCTTATGGTTAGCACCAAATCTCATTACGTTAATTGGTAAGTTTCGAAAGCAAATGGTTCATTTTGAACTAGATGTAATGGCACTTCCAGGTTTGATTGTCAATCTTGTGACTGTATTGATCCTATCTTATTATTCTCCGACTGCACGAGAAGTTGCACCATCCTGGGCGTACGCTTTGGCGGCGTTTGGATTGTTTGTCTATCAAACTCTAGATGCCACTGGTAAGCTTCTTTTCATTAGTCTTTTCATCTCTGGGTATTGTCAATCTTGTAACTTATTCAGATTTTGAATACAAATAGAATGAAGTCACGTGTAGCGCAGTGGTCGAAGACGCCCTGCAATACACTTGGGACCGATCCGGACGGCCCAGGCCCACCAAGCTCTCCATTCCTGCAGGGTCGGTAAATTGGTACTAGACTTATGTAGGAGGTTAGTACCAATGGTTGAATACATCGGTAGGCTACTGCGAGTCATTGTAAAGGCCAGATATGCATTCAATCACCTCTAAACGACGTCTAAAGAAGTCAAATGCATTGCGCATCCCTCAGGGCTTGATTCGTTCCGAGAGCTTTTTTATTTTTTTTATAGAATAATAGATGTGGATGATCTGTGCTCTTACATCAAGTGTTATGAACTTGATGTCACCTCGAAACAGACGGCATAACAACAAATCTGTAGTTAATGATAAAACATTTTTCGAGTATACTTTTCCTACTTTCCTTCAGAAATAATCGCTACCGTTGGACGTAGGTTTCTTAAACAGCATCCAATAACCAATATCAGGATCCACCACCGGCCTTGTGTCAAACTAGTCGCATGATGGCGAATCTCCCTCTGATCCACAAGGGCGGGGACTGTCTGTGGCGCTGACGACATGGGGCAGACTTTAGCCAGGTTGATCTCAGGACTCTGGGGAAACAACGGCTAAATCAACGAAACTCCGAAAAATAGAGAATATGCTGGGGCCCGCACAACCAGTGAGTGCCGGGCCAAGTATCCAAGTATTCAGTAAAGCTACCGATAGGTTCTGGTTCAACAAAGAGTATACAGGTGTATTTAAAGGATACAGCTCTAAGTTGATCAATCCCTCAAGGACGCGCCATGCATTCGACTTCATTAAGCATCGTTGTGGTGACTGAATGCACTTCTGGCCCGTCCAGTGAATCGCGGTGGCCTTCTGATATCAAGTCAGTGCTGCTATCCTCGTAGACAAGTCTGGTACCAATTTGCTGTACCCGGAGGGATGGAAGACTTGGTGAACCTTGGGAGCAGAGTTCGATCCCATGTGTATTGCAGAGCACCTCCTACAACTCTGCAACACGCGCCCACAGGCGAAGTTATAGTTGCTAAAATCGAAAAGCGGTGTAGAAGTATCTCTTCAGGAGCTAAAGATTGAAACATTAGTAAATACTTGAAAAAGCAGTGTCATTGCGAAGTTATAGTCATCGTTGTGAGGTCATTTGCAGATGGACTCGTAGAAGCAGTTTATTCGTTGAATCTCTAATTGATGATAATTTTAGCCGCAATTTTGTCTTTTAAACTCTTATTTTCTGCCTGCTATAATTTCTCGTCATAGGTTGTGATGTGAATTACAACCACAGCGATGATGAGGTATTCGTAAGGCTTGTACTCCTGGCCAGATCAAACTACGATTTCCCTTTCCGGGGGCTGGCGCATTACACACTGCACCACGGAGGTCTTTCCTCTGCATTTCTTCCAGCTAGTTTTCTACCTAACTGGGCCGGGATCCAAGTTTCGCGAATATCCTAGCATTGTTGTGTTTGTCTTCAATTTCATTTTTTACCCGTATTTGAGCATTTTAATGCATTCACAGTGGTTGGTGAAGCTTTTTTCTCATGTGTTTAATAGCTTCCTAGCTTTCCTTTCCCTCATAGCAATTGGTTTCAGATGGGAAGCAAGCGAGGCGTACAGGGGCTGCGTCGCCGCTCGGGGAACTGTTCGATCATGGCTGTGACTCAATATCGCAGGTTTTCAGTTTTCGTTAACAACTTTATTTTCTAACTTTGGAAGGAAAGTCTGATTTTTTTGCTATGGTATTTAAGGAAGGGAATCATTGAAAGGCCGATTAAGGTTTATTGCGTTTCTAATACCCTCGATTATTCCTTCATAACACATACGAATCGAAAATGTTTCAGAAACGTCTAGGTATAGAGGAACATTAAGGATACATAAAAATTAACAAATCAGGAATTACTGTCATGCTTAGAGAGACGTGCTCGGGGGTGAGAAGTTTCATAAAAAGAGTGGGGAATAAATTTTGCGTTACCAGTTCTCATCAGTTCGTATCGCGCGCAGCAGAGAACTTGGCATCGACTCGAGTGCCATCTACTTCATCTTTCATTTACTCAAATGGGCTAGTTTGTAAGTTCTGCGAAACGGATTTTGAAGCAGAAAGTTTGTCTATCCGTCTTTTCTGAATAAAATATGCAGTAATCAGGCGTCGAAGACCATACCCGTTATTAATTTTTACTGCTTAGGAATGAGTGATGTTCAGTGTTAAGAATTTTCTGATCTTTTGAGCCGCTCATTTTCATGGAAAGGCAGGTGTTTTCTCGTCGTCGGTTTTATATTGTTGTCTAGAACACTGTACATCACTGAAGTTGAGATTTCCTTCAAAAACCTATCAACCACATGCGGAGCCGTAAATCGCATCTATACAGTACTTTTCGCCCATAGTCTTTAATTCACTGTTGCCCTTCGGGCATTATATATATATATATAAATACATATATATATGTATATAAGAGAACATAATCTCTGGTACCTTTCGCCTATTTCGATAATTCGTTGTTAACATGCAATGAGCAACTAACAATGTTCTTTCTTAAGCACACATTAAAAGTGCACTTCTGAAATAAGCTAGGAACATCGTGGTTCCATGATTTCACCACCCAGTGTGTGACAGAATGTCGCTGGCTGATAAAACCTGGACGACACGTTTAACCTACGAAGTTTTTAAACAGTGTCTTTGCGTATCAGCAGTAATTGGGCTTTGAGTCTTATGTTGGCAATTAGAGGGAGCATGTGACACGGTGGTAATGGCCCTGTTCAGGAAGTAGACGGCCGGGCATGCCTAGGCGCTGTTCTACGCTTTACCTGACCACTAAGCCTTTCTTTCCTTCGCGATCGGAAAATTCGTAACAAAGTTATCTGGGACAACCTCAAAATGCATATGGAAACGCTCTAGCAAGGCTATCCTAGGATTCCAAGGAGAATTGAATCGAACAGCATTCAACAACATTCGTGACGAAGATGAAAAAATCCTCATGAAGCGGCCGATGCTACTCGATTAAAAAAAGCGAAGACATTCGTGGATGGTGAATGCGAGAAGTGCTGCGATCCGAACCGTTTGATATTTGTGTTGTCACCTCATGTGGAAAAAATTGCTCATAATTTGACCCTTGTCTTACAGAGTATTACTGCATTGAAGGACTGTTATATTGCTAAAACGAAAGTTAGCGTCTAAATCCTCGTGCATTTTCGCTTTCCTTTTCCTTTGCACTTTGAAGAAAAAAAGTCATACTCGTATACATTTTTGTGCTCATTTTCGTAGAGTCCGTGTAAGGTGTGTTCTCTCATCTTTCGTAAGCATATTTCTACTCAAAATAAGAAGGGTTTAGGTATTCGTTACACTTAATGTCGCATATGCCATGCGTCTTGGAGATGTGAGATGTGGCACATTTTTCGTAGTGATTCTCGCCGTGTCGCTTTTCTACTGCGCACATTGGAGTACGTACTGTACTGGACAGATGAGGTGGGTTTCAAGTCTCTACTTTACGTTCCCATCTATTTTGATAAAGGTTTCTAGAACCGACTTTCTATTAACCTCGATATTGATCGAACAATTTTTTCTATTCTTGTTGTGTAAACACGAGGTGTTATTTTATTTCTTTATATACGAAGAAGCTGATGTTTCGACGGATTTCGCCTTCCGCAGAGCTTGGAAAGGTCAAGTAGACTGCATGGCGGGCTCTGAGGAAGGCGAAATCCTCCGAAATGTCGGCTTGTTCGTGTATAGAGGAATAAAGTAACGCCTACCCTTTACTCAACAAGAGTATAAAGAAAGGTTTGCAGGTTTTCAAAGTTCGATGTTACTGAAGCTCAAATGACTATCATTGCTCTTCTTTTGATCACAGCTGTTCTTGGCCCAAACATCTGGACAATCGGTCTGTTTACGTCCACTTTACATAATTCTTGGAATAGATTACTTGCTAAGTTATCTTGGATGATCGCATAAGGTTTTTGTTGCTATCAGAGGGATTAGTTTACATCTTCATTGTGTGCTAAAAAATTTTTTTTTCAGGTGTAGTAGGTTACCAACTGCGTCACGTTCTTTTGTTTGGTGCATTTATTGCTGGTATTTATCAGGCTTCGTCGTATCTGAGCGTAATTTTCACAGGAGGGGTTGGTAGAAATGGATCTACGGGTTAGTACGCTTCAGATATATTAATTCGACTTCGGAAGTAATTCCATCGCTTTGTTAAATTGCTACGATTATCGTTGTTATTATTGTCATCTAGATACTTTTGCAGTAGCTGGGACATCCGTTTTATTTCCTGTGTGTCCACTTTTGGCCTGTGTAGTGCCATTTTGTATGATCTATAGCAAATCACATAGCGCTGTTTTTGACGAATGCGTTACGTTATTCGTGTTATGTTTTGGTGCTGTATCGGCAAAGGTATAGTGACAATATATTTCTTTCTCTTGTTGCTTGATTTTGCTTTTTTTTTCCTATTCGAGTCCGACGATGAAATTAGTGAAACGAGGTGATGGTATTGCTCAGGCAACAAATCGACTAATCGTAGGACATATGAGTCGTAGCGAACTTGTTCTTTGGGACTGGATATATCTAGGTCCAATGGCATTGATGCTCAATCAGTAGGTTGTTTTCCTTTTTTCATTCCACTACATGTTTGCTTTCATATTCTGCTTGATGTTAATAATAAAGGATAAAGCTGTCGGCGTTATGAATCCCTGAGGAATGCGCTATGCATTCGACTTCTTTAAGCATCGTTGGAGGTGATTGAATGCATATATGCCCTTTACAATGACTGGTGGTGACCTGCCGATGTATCGAGCCAGTGCTCCTATCCCCCCAGACGAGTCTGGTACTAATTTGTCGACCCCGGAGGGATGGAGGCCTTGGTGAGCATATGGCATGGCGATCGATCCCATTTGTGTTTTCAGGCCCCTCCGACCATTGCGTTACACCGGCCCCCTGCTTCCCATTAATAAATGCTCATTTTTAAATTGATAAACTAAACAATTACATGTTCTTCATTTCGAAGTTTTTCTTTTTTCTTTGCTTTTCAGATACTACGACTTTTGGATTTCTGAAGAGAAACTCTTGGTTTGGGTTACATGCTATGCGTACATTTCTTTGTTCGTATACTGTTGTATTATCACTCGTCAGATATGTTATCATATGAAAATTCATTGTTTTAAAGTTCCTGGTAAAAGCTCCCAAATGTGATGTCTTGAGTGGAAGTATTTCATTTCGACGTGTGGAAAATCTTTTTGTGCCGATTATAATGTTTGTTTTTTCTACAAATCCTTTTCAACTCTTTAAATATATGTGGTACTAGTCGTTCTTTCGTCGCAGATCTTCCTGAATACAATATACTCTGGTCGAACGCGATGTTGGGATATTCAATGGACGTAACTGAGCAGTAATCCAACGTGTGATGGCAATCAGGAAATAGCCGTGCAGATTTATTTGTCCTGAAAATTCGGTCACTCAACGAGGAAATCGTTTTACATTTATAATTGTTCATAAAAAAGAAACTGCTTAAAAGTCTTATTCCTGTTGTTTTTCTCTGAGCGTTGTTTTTGCTTCGATTTCAATACTTCTCTTTACCGGCATTAAGGCAGTATTCTAATAAATAGTGAGGCATTTGCTATATTGTGCCGTATTTTGTTTGTTCCAGCTTCATGGAAGAAATGGATCGAAAACGTGCTGTATAATATCCATTTATGTCTCATAACAGGAAATTCGCATTAGTATTGTTAGCTACAACCACTCGTATTCGTGATATTTAGTCGACACTGTCTCATCTTGAGGTCAAGAGTGCAGCATGTATTTGCTCCGGACTGGGGGTGTCTGCGATGGATACTGAACATGCTATTACCCTTCTCGAAAGCTAACACGTTCAGCACCACACCGTGCGGGTCTTTCGTTTCGCCTATCTCAGCTAGTTTGCTATCGATTAGTGCCATAAGCAATCACCCGTCAATGGGAATGTTCTGAGAAGCACAAATCGGCATTGAGTACCCGGTTAAGCTGAGGCTGTAGTCGAAATCACAATGTTAACTTTTATTTACTGCCTATCACAGTGAGTTGTCGGAGGAGCAGCTGTGTTCTCTGGGTACAGTTCCGATAAGAGGCAGATAGAGTTCTTATGTAGGATGGGTCCATTAATTGATCGACAAGCGCTGATATGAGTGCCTTCATTTCAACGCTGCTGAACGCTTTTTCGTCGTCGATAAAAGTTGTGACAAGGGGGAAACAGTATTGCGAACAGACTTCTACGACCCGTGACAGGGTTTGGATTTTGTCCGTGCCCCAGGATCCCTGTCAGAGTCCTCTTTGCTCAAATGGTTTTGCTTCATGCAAAGTCTTTAATATGCTGAATAGGACAATTATCGTGAACGACTTGTAGACTAAACTCAACAAGCATATTGAACGATAGTTACGAAGATCCATCCTCTCTCCCCGGTTGAGCAAGATAAGCGTGGGTAACGTCCTCTACTGACTTGTGATCTCTCCCTTTTGAAAGTGAGGTGTCATATGGGTAAGCACATAAGGTTTACCATTTTTCGCACTAAGCATGTGGGTAGTGATGTTATTGGGTCGTATGGCTTTGCTTTTTTCATGCTTTCTATCGCATCTCGAACTTCAGAGGAAAGAATCTCCGGCATTTTTCTCCAGCAGGACTTTCGAGATTCGAGCCTGAACTATGGGATGGGGAAGGCTGGTATTGAACTTTTACTTTAGCTTTCCTGTATCATGGGAGGACGGTTTAGTGATCCTATATTCGTTCATCGGAGCTTACAGCGAAGCGTTACACTCCCATAGGCCCTAGCAGCATTTCTCCACACTGGTCTTTTTTCGTGGGACTTCTAACAGCTTCCTGTACCGATGCTCCTGCAAAGATCTTCTGCAGCTGGAATTTATTTTTAGGCGTTAAATGTGTTGCAATAGAAACAGGCTTCAGTTTTCTTTTCGAGCAACTCCTTACTGGTAATGAAGATGCGGTCTTCACTTCTTGTTTGAGGAACTGAGGCCAATTTGGCAGAAGGTTTCAGTCCGTCGACAAACACCTTGTAGACCGTGATCAATTCTTCCTAATCTGCCTGTCACGTATGGATAGTATGTGCTTGGGATCGGTATGTGATGAGAGTGCTCCAATATTACAGATGGAGAGGAAGAAACGCACTCCATGGCCTGTGGTGGGTGGATTTGGTTTACGTCCATGAGGTTTAGTCTCCACTCACCGGTTGTCCTGTCGAAAGACGTCATAGACCGGAACACTCAGTGCCGAAGACGCTTTCTTTTTCCTCTAAGGTTCTGACGTTGCCTCGTCAGACCGTTTTCACCTCTCACCACGGTGTAGATCTGAGCGAGATTTGTTAGGTAGAAATTCCTTTGGCTAGCTATCCTACCAATTTGTACGGACACATTTAAGCCGAATTAGCATATGAAAATAGAAATAGAGAATTGACCAAATGCTCAAGAACGGTTTAGAGAACGAACAATGGTGATTGTTAGGTTTCCATGGATATCATAAAATTTAGTTTGGTAGAATAGTTTTACAGAATGGAACGCTGTACCAGTTTTATGTTGGCTTATCATCGGAAAAGTGATCTGATCTGGAAATGGTGATTTGAGTGCGATCAGCAAATTATTGGTAGGTGTAGTACTATGTCGTTTTTTTGTCAGTGGTGTAATAGAAAAAGGTTTACGCATGACCAATCTATTCAGATACATTTACCGTGAAGTTGTAGTCGTATATTATTGGTAATGTTTACTTTTTATTTTCTGCCTCCTGAGATATTTGCAAAACTCCGGAGCGATCGATAGAACTAGCTGAGAGACAGGCGAAATAATGGACCCGCATGGTGTGGTGGTGAAGTGCGCTACTCTTCGGAAAGGACAATAGCGCGTCGTTCCCCACCGCAGACACCTGCGGGCCGGAGTTTTGCAATTATTGGTAATGTTTTTGATGTTCCTTCAAGTGAATAAGATTCGAGAGAATCATGCTAACTTGGTGTTGCTTGGCATTTGCAAGATTAAATAAAGGTCTCGACGTTGATCAATCCCTGAGGTAGCGCCGTGCATTCGATCTCACTAAGCATCACTGAAGGTGACTGAACGCATATCTGGTTTATGCAATAACTCGCCGTAGATATAGATGTATCGAGTCAGTGCTGCTATACCCCCAGACAAGTGTGATGCCAATTTCCGACCCCGGAGGGATGGAGAGATTGGTGAGCGTGGGGGCGGATCGTGCTCATAAGTATTGCAGGGCGCCTCCGACCACTGGGATACACGCGGCCCTTCTTTAAACACTAACTGTAGAATGTACGATGTGGCTATCCTTTTTGTCAACAGTGAAGATGACCATAAAGCGTGGTTTTTTGTTGGAGGATTCAGCGTTGAAATGTTTTGATTAAGTCGATTTAATCATTGATATTGCTGTTTTCACTAATGTGGGATATGTAAAATTATATAGCGTGGGTTGGGTAGTGTCAGTCATTCCGTTTAGTATGGGTAAAGCCCCGGTTTGATCCCGATCCTGGTTCATCATGCCTTTCATGCGCAGGGGTCGCGTGGTACCGTACTTTTTTGAGAAGCTCCCAGGGTTCAGCAAGGTCTAGGGTTGCACTAACACTGTCAACCCGAGGTTTGATGGAGAATCGGCAGTAGCAGCATTCAAGGCCATTTATGAGGAAGACTCCCGAGCAACAACCAAAACCAAAGGCAAAAACCGAAGACCTTTGTGGATGATGTAAGCAAGGAAAGCTATCTAAGACAAGAAACGAGGTAATCTGCACAATATATGATGTTGGGTTGTGTAAATAAATTGGAAGAAACAAATTTGAAGCCATGTTAAATATGCAACATTAGAACAGGCAATAAGGGATCATAATTTCATATTCTACGCGATGTCCTCTTCCACATATTGTGCATTCGTTATTCCGAAGAAGCACAGAAGCTGCCGAATGCTTGTGAAAGCAGGTCAAAAGTATTGTGGAGAACATGCCATTTTCGATGAACAGAATAAGGTCAGGATAAATATCCCATTTGCTTGTTGCTTTTTTTACATATAGAATACGATGAGCAGTTCTAAAGGCTAATTTTCTGTTTACCAACCGTGAGTCTTCTAGTGAATGTTCCACGTATAGGTCAACCGTTCAGAGCCTAAATAAAAGGGTAATGGGGAAGGAATGAGGTAATAATGCTTCTTTATCATGCGAGATCTCGCACAATATCTGAAGCTGTTAACATCATAGTGGCTCACTACCCATTCATGGGAGCTCTGACGATTGATCTCCAAGTGAAGTACTCAGAGGAAGACTCTTAGAAAGCGATGAATGTGCGAATAAGCTGTTTCATATTTAATACAATTGGAAACTGTGAGTCGTGGTTTTTCTACCAAGGTCATGGAGGTGCTTAGCTGACTGGATTGCGGTTAAACTGACCTCTTCAAACTCTGAAGAATGCCAAATGTACCGAAACTTCAGCTGCTGTGAATAAATAACATATAGTAAAAACATCGTATGTGGTAAACAAGAAAGTAACCAGTGTGATGACCGTTTGGGTCATAAAACACACGCCATTTTTCTGAATCATTATGTTAATTGTAACCTGTGGGGCTAGGAAAGAAAAGAAGGAAATGGTTCAATTTTTAGACCAATCTGTTGATTTCATCTGAAGGTTATTTTTTCGAACAGTGGTATTCCATTTCACGATTTCAGGATCGTATTCCATGTCCATACGACCCCAAACATACAGTAGATCGTAAAACAGTCGCGTTGCACTTACAGAGGTCGGCCAAATGTTTTCAAATGCGACCCATTATTTATATATATATGCGCATATGCATATACATATATATATGCAAATACATATGCATATCTATTTTTTTATTTTGTTTTCTGTTCGACCCGTCTTCACGTCCACTGTGCGGATCCCAGCACTTCTCACATTCGCTTCGTTTCTTTCCACCCATCACCCATAATTCACATCCATTTCACCTTGAATGTGGTAGAATGCTGGTGAAGTCGATTCTCATTGGAGTCCTGAGATAGTCGGGATGCAGAGTTCCCAATTGAATTGCAGAGAGTGATTTTTCGCCTGAAAAATGTTGCACCAATTTTCCCGGGGGATGGGAACCTATTGGGTCAGGGTTGGGAGCGAACCAGCACCGTGCTTGTGATGGCCGGCATCATTAGCACTGCGCTACCCTTTTTTTCTTTATATACATAAGTATATATATACATATATATATGCATACATACATACATAACCCTAGAAAGTAGCAAACAAAGTGAAATGTGGATGCTTTTTCTTTTTCATACCCACATTAGTTTTTTATTTTTAAGTTCATCGTAATAACTGTTTATTATTAAGTCGTACTTTATTTACGCTTGAAATTGTTGATTTCTAGGTGTAATTCTCGACTATTGGAAAAGAGCTGGATTGTCAAGAACATCAATTCCATAAAAGGAGAGACAAGGTGCATTGAAAAAATCGATAGGAAGGCAACACAAGTCTGTGTTCTCCAGGAGTATTTGCTCCATCCGTTTTTTTTTCGAAGATTCGTAATGACTTATTTTCTTTTGATCTTAGGAGGAGATTTCGTGCGTCATTTACAAACTACAGGCTTGCTACAGCAGTGTTCGTGATGAAATAGAAAGAAAGCAGTTCCAAACTCCGGAAATTGAGGACTACTTGGAGCAGTTTCCCAACGTTTCCGACAGTAAACGAAAGCACCTGGTGCAGCAGAGTTCCATAATTGGTAGTTAATTCACTCTTTCCAAGAAGACCGCAACCTAAAAGATCAGTAGATGAAGCTCTGTTTTAAAAAGGCGCTCATCTTTATAGCGCCTTCTATTCTAACTGATCCGGTCTATTTTAACGTTGAACATCTCTGTCGATGGACGAATTATATTCCCTATTGTAGTGCTATGAGTTAAAGATCGGTTATAAAACTATTCAGGTCACATGGAATCGGCAAAGCTCCTCCGAAACGAGTCTTCCGCTTGCATTTTTGAATTAGGTGCCGGTAAGGTAAGGATATATATATACATATGTATGTATATATACATATATATGTATACATATATAAATATATTTGATGTCTTTGTTTAGATTGTCCAGCTTACACGAGGTTGTTACTATGTAAGCTTTGTTCGGCTAACCTTTCGACGCCGTCTATTTAAAGCCGATGGTCCGTGTCGATAGCCCACAGTCGTTCATTCTTGCGTTGTGGGTCTTCGTAGTCGCATCGAGTCGAGTTTTCTTTAGTGGAGATTTTGCGCAGTGACATCAGGAAGGTTCGACTCGATACGACTACGAGGACACAAAACGCGAGAACGAATGTCTATGGACCGTCGTCTCGGATAATCGATTCTGGAGAAACCGAAGTCGTCGAAAATTTGCCGATGTAAAGGTTGTATAACAACCTCGTCTAAGCTATATAATCTAAACACATGTGTTGGTCATTCATTACGAAGCTAAGTGAGAAGTCACCATGGTAAAGTATATATATACTTATACAAATATATCTATGCGTAAATATGTCTATATATGTCTTAACCCTTTTATTTACTGCCTTTTTCTTTTTAATGGCAGGGTATATTGCGAAATATAACTCGTATATAATGCTGAGATATTTGCAAAACTCCGGACCGCAGGTGTATGCGGTAGGGAATCAATCCCGTTGACGGGTGATTGCTGATGGCAAAAGATCGATAGAACTAGCTGAGAGACAGGCGAGACGAAGGACCCGGATGGTGTGGTGGTGAAGTGCGCTGCTCCCCGGTAAGGACAATAGCGCGCGTTCGTTCCCCACCGCATACACCTGCTGTCTATATATGTATTTTTTACTTTATATGACTCGTCTTCACGTCTACTGTGCGGATCCTAGCACTTTTCACATTCGATTCATTTCCTCGCATCCACTGTCCGCGAAGATCTTCCAACTTTACGTATGGCTTCGGTTGCTCCCTGAGGATTTTCATTTTATCTTGAATGCTGTAGAATGCTGGTCGAGCAATTCTCCCTAGAGTCCTAAGATAACGAGGCTGGAACGTTTCCAATTGGATTGCAGAGAGTGATTTTTTTTTCTCAGATAAGTCCGGTACCAATTTCCAGACCCCGGAGTGATGAGAGGCTTGGTTAGCCCGGAGCGGAATCGGACTAGCACCATACTCGTGATGACGGACATTACTACCAGTGTGCTATCTGCCTCCTATCTATATATGTATATATATGCATATATTTACATGCATTAGTATATATATATATATCTTGGAGTTATCTAATCATAGTTATTATCTAAGGGGCTACGTCTGGTTTGTTTAGATACGGCACGAGAAAACCCGTACTTTTTTCCCTGCGCACACTGTGAATCATACGTGATTCGCATCGGCCATCCTTTCCTAACCAGTGAGGCAGGAACTGCTCTCCTCATTGCCATTATTCACGTATCATTCTCGCACGGAAAGCAAATAATCGCCGAAGTAGTTAAGTATTTGCGTTTGTTAAACCACGGTATCACACTTCTCATCTCTGGTACTTCGCACCACCATTCTTCCCTCCAGAAGGCGGTTTCCCTTTGTAATTTATGTAAAGAGGTTTTTTCGGGTGATGTCCGTCAATACATCTGTGTTTAAAAAACTGGCAGCTGAATTCGTAGTAAACAGCAGGTGCTGGGGTAATCATATGCCATCCGTGCTGGTCGTTTTGTAGTCTCTTACATACGAATCACATACGGCTCATATCATCGCCTATGTTGGTTTTCATTCTATTCTGTTTATTGTAGGCGCAGTTGTCATATTGGATGGCTAAAACAGCTCCTTTGGCGAGTTTCTTGCTCATTGATAGAAGCGGATCAAGAAACAAATATGACAACAAGGCTCTTCAGGTACTCCGTTGTGCCCCACGTCTTTATTTTGTTGCGGTATGGCAATTCTGACTATTTTTAGGGCATTGTTAGTTTTAGGAAAATCCATCACTAAACATAAAGCGTCTACGATGCTCTATTGAACATTTGCATCTTTCTGAGGTTGAGATGCTGAAGTTTGGTTCATACATCAATTGTTTTTCGATGAATTGGTAACAATTTTGTCAAAACAACCGTTCTTTCAAAGTCGATTAAACCATGGTGTTGCGTAATATTTTCTAAAGTCCTTTACTCTTTTTGTAAAGTTCGCTTCTTCCCTTGTTTACACTACCAAGTCTTTAAGTTTGGGGAATGTTTATTGCTTATGTATGCCGCACGTTTTAGAGGGCACATGTGGCGCAGTGGTCAGAGGCGCCCTGTAATACACGTGGGATCGATTCCTGTCCCCTAGACTCACCAAGCTTTACATCCCTCTGGGTTCGGCAAATTGGTACCAGACTTGTCTGGGAGGATAGCAGCACTGGCTCGATACATCGGGAGGCCACTGCGATTCACTGTGAAGGCCAAAATGCATTGAGTCACCTCCAAACGATGCTTAATGAAGTCGAAAGCATATCGCATCCCTCGGGAATTGATCAACGCCGAGAGCTTTATCTTCCTATCTTATCTTTATCCTTTATCCTTATGTTTCGCGTTTTTAGGATGTGTCAAGTTTATGTGCTGTATGTAAGCATTTTTGTGGGAGCGCGACCGATGCTGGCATTCGATGTCTGTCAAATGGCATTGAAGGAGGGCTTGCACTTGATGGCTTTGTATTGGTTCCGTGTTGTCATCACAAATCACGATATACCGAGGTAAAGGTGACCGTATTTTTTGACTTTCGAGGCCATTTTACAGTTTTCAGAAATTTTCAGTATTGTGGTCACGATTTCCTTGAGAAATGGAATATGAACAGTGAGAGCGACTTTGCCGCTTTGCGTCACATTTCAACGTGGGCTGTTTCTGGTATTACAAAGGTGCGGAATGAAAATATTGTTGGAGAAAATGGAATAGCATCGACTAGGCTTCTTAATGGAAGTGAAATAGCCCGAGATTCTTTATCTGGAGGGATAAATGCATATGAAAATGGCATGGAATTGGAAACGAGCGAAGGACGTTTGCTGTGTGATCCAACCCATGACCTATCGATTCCATGGTAAGGCAAAACTCTAGCTGTTTCTTTTTTTTCCAGCAATTTTCTTTATTTTGATCTTATAATGAGAATTCTCAGTAACAGTGCGGTTTGTAATGGTTTATATTTCGTCGAAGTCTTCACTGGACTTCAGTTGTGCGCTGGGACCTCCCATTGAGTGACAATCGCTTGAATGGTGTATGAAACCACAACGTTGCTGAGATATTTGCAAAACTCTGGACCGCAGGTGTCTATGGTGGGGAACGAACGCGCTATTATCCTTTCCGGGGAGTAACGCGTTCACCACCACACCATGCGGGTCCTTTGTTTCGCACGTCTCTCAGCTATTTCTATCGATCTTTTTGCCACAGCAATCACCCGTCAGAGGGGTTGATCTGGGGAGCGCAAATCGGCATAGAACCCAGTTAAGCTATGGCTGTAGTTGAAATCACAATGTTTTAACGTTTTGTTTTCTGCCTTCTATAATTTTCATGGCAGTAACCTGCCATGAAAATTATAGAAGGCAGAAAACAAAACGTTAAAACATGGCGTATGAAACATTAATCTGGTGAAGCCTACTAGAGCCACCTCCCGTGTAATCACCAGTTATTCTCTTGGAGGTTTCTGATCTAATACTTACTTGGATACTTGGGCGGCCCGTCCCAACTTGTTGTGCCTGCCCTAGCATATTCTCCACTTTTAGAAGTTTTGTTGGCTCAGCCATTGTGTTTCCTTGGAGTCCCAAGGTCAGCCCAAAGCCTGCCCCAAGTCGTCACCACCACAGGCAGTCGCCGCCTTTGAGGATCAGGGGAAGATTTGCCACTATGCGACTAGCTTGATACCAAGACGGTGGTGGACCTTAGTATTGATTTACTCTTATCTGGGCTTCCTGATAAAACGCCGGATTCCTTCTCAGCATACGAGAGCCTGCTGGAGGGATGAGTCGCTCTGCCGTATATCGCAGGCCTAAGTTCTGTTCTGATAGAGGTGGGAAATACATCTTCCACACAATAAATGTTCTTATTTAAGTACACTTGGTTGATTACGTGTACACACAGATATATAAGTTATACCGGCGTAATGGAAGCAACAAGACCACACTTTGGATCTGTTTGGGTACCAACTGTATCACCTAGATCGCTTGTAGTCCTGTCGATCGTCGAGTGAATCGAACGAGCGCCAGTAAATCTTCTATTTCTTCCTATCCCGTGAAAAAGTAGCCCAGTGGGTTCTGCTCGCTCTACTGACTCGTCGGGCATCATATCTTGTTTCTAGGCTCTTCGTGAAGAACTCTGACCATCGGGTCGGTGGTCTTCCTGTAGTACGTTTGACATCCTGAGGAATCCAGTCACTAACGGCTCTTGTCCATCCATTCATATGCATTACATAGTCGGCCCACCTTCGACTGTTTGGCGTGCAGAACGGCATCTTTGATTTTTGATCGTTGACGCAGATCGGAGTTTCGAATCCCATCCCTTACTTGTGTGAAACGCGATACTCCTAGCATAGTCCTTTCGACTGCTCGTTCGAAAACGCTGAGTGATCTTTCGTCGTGCTTACGCATCGACCAGGTTTCTGACGCATACTTTAGGGCAGGAAGTACCGTTGAGTCGAAAAGGTGAGCACGGAGTCGGGTGTTCTTTGTCCTCTTCACTATATTCTCGCTGCTCTTGAAAGCTCCCCAAGCCGCTCGTTTCCTTCTGCTAAGTTTTGGGGCTAATTCGTTCATCATATTGATTTCCCGACCTAGGTAGACAGAACTGGAGCACTCGGAGATATTCGTTCCGTTGAGCGTGAATGGGGCAAACTAAACCAATCCGTTCCTCATTCGTTTTTGTGAGATTTAGTCAAAGACCAATCTTTTCACAAGCTTTATCATAGTCGGCAAGCATACGTTCCGGTTGGCTAATGTTTGGTGTTATAAGGACGATGTCATCAGCAAAGTGTAACTGCCGACCATCGATTTTCACTCCTATTCCTAAGTTCACATGACGTTCTGGAGGGTGGCGGTAAATAATTTTGGCGAGATGGTATCGCCTTGCCTAACTCCTCTTTTGACGTCAATATTAATATCGTTGTAGAATGGTGATATCTTGGTTGTGAAATTTGTGTACATCTCACGAGGAATCTTTATGTACTGAGTAGGGACTCCTTGACTATCAAGGACTTCCATGACTGCTTTTATCTCAACTGAATCAAAGGCCGTCTGTAAATCGATGAAAGTGAGAGAGCGGTTTTTTGTACTCTTGCGATACTTCAATGAGCCGTGTTACCGTGTGGATGTGGTCCATCGTACTAAATCCTATTCGGAACCCTGCTTGCTCACATAGCTCTTCTTCGCCTAGTGTTCTGTCAATCCTGTTTAGGATGACTCGAGTGAAAAGTTTGTAGACGACAGACAGTAAGCCGATTGGGCGATAGTTGCCGATATCGTGTAGGTCGCCTTTCTTGAACAATAACACGGTCGTGCTGGTCTTCCACTGAGAAGGGACCTTGCATTCAGACAGGTAATGTGTAAAGAGCCAAGCCAGTGTGTTTACGAGGGCTGGCGGAAGGTTCTTGTTCTGGTCTTACCCTGTCCGGACCTGGTGCTGTTCGATTTTCCACCGACGAAATGGCATCTAGGATTTCGGAAGGGAGAACCGGTGGTATCAGAGTTAATAACTGGTGCCTTTAAATTACATTATCTCTTTTTCCACCACCTACCTGGGAACGTTTTGTCGTATGCCTGCGGACTAACACGAATTCCTTAAATGAAGAATATCTATGCAGTGTGTATTTGTAAAATTTCTACGCAGAAACAGGCTTAACTTTGGTGATCAATACTTGCCAACATCAGAATAAATATATTGGAATCGTGAGACTTTCAGTTCAGGTCCCCGAAATGGAAGGAAGAACTGGGTCGTTGTGCAAAAGTGGTGCTTGAAGCTGGACGTTCGTATCATCTAGCTTTGCTTGGATTTTCGACACGAGTTATTGAGTATGTATCTTCTAGCATTACACCAGAAAATTTGCTTATACTAGGAATAAGGAAGTAGTTATCGCTACATTTACTCATTAGGAACATTTATGTGCAACAAAAAATTTGAGTTAAGGCAATGATCTGATCCAATGGTGAGGCGTTTCACATGGTTTGTTGTCATTGATCTGCCCATTCCTTTTATGTTCTACATTTCATTGCTGCTGTGTTTTTAATAATAAATTGTTTTCTCCTTGTTTATGGATGATTTCTTAGGGCAGTGATTATCTCATATTGATTCACGTATGAGTATTTGTTAGGTCAGACCAAATCAAATGTTGTTTGTTTACGTATTGATCGAACTTCCAGTGGATGTTGCTCCTACGTCGTTACCCTCATGCTTTGCTTATGACGGTACGAAGTGCAACCAATGCAGCTCGTAGTCATGTATACCTCGATGTGAAGATTGGCGAAAGTTCTGCTGGAAAAATCGCTATAGAGGTGCTGTTTTGAATTTTGCAGTTTTTATTTAACGACGTAGAGTGGATGTATATAGTGTTTTGAGCCACTGGGTTATTGCTTACGAAATAATCAGAGATGAAGGGAACGCTTGAAAGTATAATCCATTCGTGACCCGTTAAGAAGCACATACTGAGCGTCTTTTGAATGTGGCATTTATTTTCGTCTATGCCTGGAATGTTGTAGTCGAAACAAACTCTAAGTTTCACTGTTATTTCATTAACTCATTGCTGGAGATGGAGATGCGCTCCGAATTATGTTATTCATTACGTTCTCGACACGACAAAAGTTCTCCATCCAAATCGACTCTGTATGAAGAAGACGGTGGTGAAACCCAGAAAACCATTTCATGGCGCAGTGCTACGGATGTAAGAATTAAGCACCTAGATTTTTTACGTTCTTGTTGAGCAAGTATTGAGATTGCGGTCAACTTGATCGTTCCTGGTTATGAGGAAGGCGAAATCTGCCGAAATTTCAGTTTCATAGCACTAAGGAGCAAAATAACACCTCGTGTTTACTCAACAGGAATATAAAGAATTATTTGATCAGTGCCGTGGTTAGTAGAAAGTCGCTCGTGGGAGCTACTACAAGACGGATTTAGATTCTGACTATGAGAAAGCGATCATCCTATATTTGAGTCGTGTCATTAGTCAGTGGTAGTGTTCAGTGATAATTTTATGTGTCCTCACGAGATCTGCGATGGAAGGACTCCTATGGATAGAAATTCACAAAACGGTTTTTTTCTCGTTTCGGTATTATCTTACGACTTTGGAAATCCCTTGCTCTCTTTTGATGGTTTTTCATTTTGAAGGAGTATACGTCACTCATTCCATTCGTGGTCTCGCATCCATCCGGAAAAATATGCGTTTGAATCAGCTTGGCTCTTTACGGCTTCGACTTTTCTTATGGTCGCCGGACGCTCAAGGAATAGCTCTACAGAAGCATTTCTAAGTTTTCACTGAGGCAGTTACTGGCCTTTATTAATCGGTTGAAGCTTTTCCCAGACAACTCTGGCACAAGTCTGTTGACCTTAGAAGAATGGTAAGCAAGGTTGGACAAGGGCGGAGCTTAACTAGCGACCATTGCGTACCATCTCTAGTCACTCCACTTCCCGAGCTTCTTGTTGACTAGTTGTTACTATTAAATTCAGTAATATTTAAATAACGTTATGTGCTTAGTAAATAGTCCATTGAATCCGGTCTGGTTAACGAGTTATCGTGTTTTTCAAAGCATCACTACATAACAGGACCGATGGCACGGTTTTTTTCACACTGGTGATAGATTAACTTGGCATATATTGCTTTTCTGTCCACTGCCGTTTGCAGAATTTAGTTTAATCTGCGATACCAAGGAAGGCATCAGTTAACGTTCTGTTCATACTCTTTTAGTGAATATATGGAAGTTGGCTGTCTTCTAAGGTATTTAGTGGGCGTTGTTTTCTCCCAGTGGTAACAAATTTTGCCACGGTTCACAGTTTGATTCTCTCCCCGGTGTTCTCAGCTGTTGAAATAGATCTGACTATATAGTATTGTAGATGGTGATGCTTTTTTTGCTCGTCCATCTGATTTCTTCTCTGCAGTCTTGAGGAGGAACCCATGCCAGACCGCTATCGTGCCGTCCACATGTAATCGCTGCTCCTTGCTGATCGTAGGGAAGTTATATACTTTGTGAAGGTTCCACTAGAATAGCGGCAATTCTTCACATCGTTTTACTAATCAGCTTCTGAAGCAATTACGAAGTCTCTTTTTCAGTTTGTATGCCTCTCTGTACAGAACGTTCTTCCACTTATTACACTATTTTGCCTCAGTTTTGGACCAAATTTAACAAATTTCATAGCGAGTCAATACATTATCACAGTATGTTTAAAAAACAATTTTGTTCAGTTGTTCAACGATGTAGCGCCGAAAACCGCTGAGAATTTCCGTGCCTTGTGCACTGGTGAGAAGGGAAAAGGTAAAAATGGATTACCGCTACACTTTAAAGGTTCTACGTTCCATCGTATAATTCCGGAATTCATGATTCAAGTATGGAATTGATTTTAAATTGTTGAACAATACTGAGGACAGTGGGGATTTTACAGGGAGGCGATTTTACCCTAGGTGATGGACGAGGTGGCGAGTCTATTTATGGTGAGAAATTTAAGGTATGGAACTGGCGTTTGTGTTGATTTTGAAATTCTCCATGCGTTCCATTTCTTAGGATGAAAATTTTAACTTGCGGCACACCGGTTTGGGCTGTTTATCAATGGCAAATGCTGGTCCTGACACTAATGGAAGCCAGTTTTTCATCTGCACGGCTGATACACCATGGTAGGTTATTCATTCCTGGATTTTTCTGATCGAATTAGTTATTCAGCAAAATTACGGTACATATGGACAGTTAGAGATGAGGTCAAGAGTTTTTTAAATATTAGAGTTCAATGACTTGATGAGCTACGAAAAATGTTCCCAAACATAACGCAAGTTTTAAACTACACCGCTATTTAAATATAGCTTTAACACAGGAACGAACTTCATTCAGTAGTTACTACAACTATGCACCATGTGTTTTCAGTGAAGAATAGTTGCTGGAATCTCCTGAAACTCCGGCGTTTGTAAAGCAAGTTGAAAGAGTACTTCGTAGTGAAGGGCAGTGTTTTTAGATGCGGTTGACCAACTTTTGGAGTTGAATGACGCAGACGTTGGGTATCACGGTAGTGCCGGTGGGTAGGAGTTTACAACACAGCACATCTATTTTCACCAACGGTGAAAGACATCGTGTATCAAATGTTTCAGCATGTTAAGGAAACATTTCCTGTATAGCTGTTCTCTTTCTGACAGTCGAGTGAGTGACATGGGAGCCAATAAACCCTTCATTTACCCTTATCGCTTGCAAATGTACCCTATTCGGTTCTGCCCATTTTAGGAACACGAAAAGCATCCAATTCCCGTCGCAAACAGCATGGCGGCTTGTTTTCCTTATCTGCGGTTAATATCCCGTTATCGCTGTTGCTAGCGGAATATAAGCCTTCGAGTCAGTTCTCGACACCGAATAACCACTAACTTTAAGCAGAATGCTCGACTTCGTGAGAAGACGTCACGCGGGATTTTTCGTAGTTGACACAGGGCAACACCGTTTGGCACTCAAACTTGGGATTAAATCTTTATATACATAAAGACAACACCGATACAACAGGAATAACGATGGAAGAATACTGGCGTAAGAATAAGGCAATGAAGTCCAACTTAAGACTCGATAGAAATTGCCAAGCCAAAGAAAAGGTGGTGCTAGCCGGGCGTGGCTACGTCCAAGCGCATCGTTGGTGGTGGGGTCAAGGTCCGAGTCGCGGAGTCCAGTGCCCAAGCAATGAGGCGTACCCAACAGCATGCCCGGTGGTTTGAGCGATGGCCACGAGATGCTGTGTAATGACGTTGTGGCAAAGGCAGTCTCCATCGACCCATTGAATATGTCTGCTAGGTAGATAGAGAATTCACTATTTGGTAGAGGAATTCTCTATACGAAGTTCCTTAGGATTGGATCAAAATATTTACGTACTACGACATTTGCCAGGCAGCTTGAGAAACAGTAGATATGATTCTTACTACAAAAACGTGCAGTAATAGAACGAAATAGTAACAATTCTGGGGATAGTTGCTATACCCGTGGAATCCAATGCCTAACGGCTCTTGTCCGCAAGTTTATGTTAGTTTGCATCGCTTGTCCGGTCACTGATTTTCGATATTGCGGTCTCTGCAGAGGCGTTCCTGCTTCTTGAAAGAGCTTTCCTTCTGCTTACGCAGCGTTCATGATTACGATACATACATCACCACAGGAAGGATCGCAGGGCCGAACATTTGGTCACGAAGCCGGTCGTTCTTTGTCTTCCTCACTGCTTCGCCAAATTCCCGAAGGTTTCGGAAGCTGCTAATTTTCTTCCACTCTACTCTGGCCCTAAGTCTAAGGTGGTCTGCAGCTGGCCTGATTCATCACAGCTTTTTGAATACGGGCGAAACGATTACGGCAGAAAAGTATTGCCAACAAATCGACGAAATGCACCGTAAACTCCAACAACAATGACCGGCATTATCCAACAGAAAAGAATCAATTCTTCACGATAACGCCTGGTCTCACGTTGCGGAACCAGCGCTGCAGAAGCTGAACGAGTTGGCTACGAAACTTCGCCTCATCCGCCGTATTCAGCAAACCTCTCCGCTACCGATTATCACTTCTTCAAGCACCTTGACAATTTCCTGAGTGGCAAGTACTTCATCAACCACGATGACTCAAAAAATGTCTTCAACGAACTCATCGATTCCAGAACTCCAAAATTTTGTGGTATGAAAAAAGTTATTACTATTTAAAGTTTACATTTAAGATCGGACATTTCACATGTTACAACCTAATACACAAGGACCTGACAAACTGGACGATAATTGCCGTTGTTGTGTGGGTGCCCTAGATTACTGTCTTAGCGATTTACGGTTTCTTTACCGTAGTCACTTACCTGGTGAATTGAACTGACAAAGAGATTTCATAGTAAAAATACCTGCTTGTTATTGATTTCCAGTTTTTCCTAGAGTTTTAAAAAATGTTATTAAGTGTAGTTAAACTTTCTTTGCAACACATTGTGTGTCGTAAACTAAGCTGTAACTTCTTTTGTTTAGGCTGGACGGAAGACATGTGGTGTTTGGCCAGGTTACTGGTGGTCTGGACGTAGTGAAGAAGATTGAATCTGTAGGTTCTCTTTCTGGTCGACCCAAAGAAAAAGTCACTATTGTAGATTGTGGAGAGATAAAAACCGATTAAATCATTGATTTTCATAAAAATCATTGTTAGGCTTGCAAGAATTTATCTGGTGCATTAACAATTGTTGATTTTAAAGTTGAGTTGCTAAGTTGCTGACCTGTATTTGTTAAGCCATAAATGTTTCTTCATTAATTAACCTTTTTTACTTCATTACAGAAATGATCAAATAGCTGTTACTAGTGTCGTTTTCTTGTTCAGCAATCGCGAGGTTTTTAAACAGCATACATTTACTTCCATAAAAACACAATACAATACAACGCTAGCTGACGTTTCGGCAGTATCGCCTTCTTCAGTATCGCCCCCTAAGAAGGGCAGATCTAGAGGAATCGGTAGCGATAGTTGAAATACCACCGACTACTCTACGTCGCCAATTAGTTCGCAACCGCCTGTATGACCGTCTGTGTGAAACAACAAATTGCGTAATTTGCCCTTACGGCAGGGACGGTGATTGCATGAGTTCAGGTACGATATACCTGATCTCGTGTAACAATTGCGGAGATGAATATATTGGCGAAACGGGCAGACCTTTGTGTATCCGTATAAAAGAACACCTAGATGGCAAACGAAAACTAAGACGAAGCACCCCACTAGGCACGCATAGGATACAAAAGCATAGCGGAGACGATTTTGAAGTGAAAGTCAATATCCTTGCACAGGAGTCCAAAACACCAACGCGAAAACTCCTTGAGGCTTTTTGGATCAATGCCAAAAGCCCTACAATGAATAGCAGGGACGAATGCCCGGAGATCATACGCGACCTGATCTCGTACGTTCGCATCGATTTTTGATGTGGGATGGTGCAGTCGTCAACCACATGCGACTATAATCAGCTGTTCTAAACTTCCTCATTGGAAGTCACGAAAAAGCGGTGGGTTTTTCGAGAAGTTGTTGATTATGTAATTGCCGGAGAGTTCTTCGTCTTCTTGTAAGTGTTATTGAAGCGTTTGGCCTAGTAGATTGTATATCAGTATACCCTTCCAGGCTCTGAAGAAGGCGATACTGCCGAAACGTCAGCTAGCGTTGTATTGTATTGTGTTTTTATGGAAGTAAATGTATGCTGTTTAAAAACCTCGCGATTGCTGAACAAGAAAACGACACATTCATATTCCAATGCCGAGGTTAAGAGAAAGTCGATCCTGGGAGCTGTTACTAGTGCTCCAAAAAACAGTTCAAAGGATAGAAAAGAGTTCTAGGAAAGAGTCCTTGTTCGCTATTGCTTCTTTTGTCAGTTAAGTCATTGAAATTATACCGATTCATTCATAGTTTTCTTCGCTGACAACTATATTGTGGTGAAATTCTTCATCGGTTTTGCACTAAAGGTGAAAGTACAATTTAACTAAAATGAAAAAATCGAATTTTAAAACAGCTATATCAGATTTAGCTTCTAATTTGATTCTTCTCGATGTCAATTGGTGTCGATGTTGCGGTTTTTAATGACCATACTTCTTCGTAGAAGTTTCATGTGTTTCTTCGTCGTTAACATAAATAATTTATGAAATCCTATGTGCCATTTTAAGGGTAGAAGCACCAGTAGTCGATCACCGGTGATTACTTCTCTGTAGATACGTAAATGATTGTTTTATCATCTGCTCCACTCAAGAGCAAGTGGAGAAATGTTTTGAGTTATTGAGCGAACAGTAAGAGTATACAGATTTCACCCAAGAGAAACCGAAGAAGGTTGGCGTCCGTTTTTGAATGTTCAACTAAATCTGTGCAAAAACGCCTTCACGCACCAAATGGTGCGTAAAACCAAGTGCTAAAAACGTATTGGTTCATTATCTCAACCCTTCACTTTTCACACACATAAAAAGTGCGCTTATGAGAAACATGCTTCCAATAGCCAGCAATATGTGCATAGGAAGAAAGATGAGAAAACAATTCCTGCGCAGGGCGCAAGAAAAAGCCGTTTCTAATGGCTCCGAAACGGTAGCTACTCAGGACAGGTTTAAATAAAAAACCACGTCCGAAAGGAAGTAGCTCTAGTGAAAATATGGTCCCGTTTATACTGCCGTTGATTTCCAACAGAATAAATACACCCATTAACTGTTGCATAAAAAAGGACCTCTTGGAAGAGTCTGTAGCAGTGATTGAAATACCACTGATCACTCTAAGGTACCAGTTAGTTCGTAACCGTTTGTATGACCATCTATGCACACCTCGCATAATTTTTCTATCTGGAGAGACGGTGATTGCACGACTTCGTGTGCGGCGTAGATAATATCTTGTAAAACATCTGGGGATGAATGCGCTGGCGAAGCGGTTAGATCACTTTTCGTTTGTGTAGAAGAACACCTAGGCCTTCTAAAACAAGTTTTCCACGCAAAAGAGATTTCAATGACTTTCTTGGTGCTAAGCATATGGATTGACGAACTACAACTCGTTGAGAGGCTGTAAAATAAGTCCAATAGGGAAGTAAAGAAATTAAGAAATTGGTCCAGTGCTACTACCACTGAATGGTATCGGTTTAGCTGAATGGATCCAGTTCTACTGCATGAATACGTATTTATGCTTTCACACACCGGTTCAAAAACTAGGCGAGCTTGGGAGCGCAGCTGTTTCGACCTCCTTATTAATCAACCTGTCATAAACATATTACCACTTTCCCAAATACACGGATACTGTCGCTTAGACACAGCGTATAAGATTTTAATGCCTTAATAAAACTTGTTGACTTAAATGGTTTTTCTTTTGCTTAGTACCACTGGATTTCAAAAAGTTGGACGTGTTAAACGTTCCTTTCAATATCGGATACTTTATACTGAGAAGTGTGCAACAGCCGTTCACATCTTTTCTTTTGGTCTGACTAGCTCATTCCATTTTGCAGGAGTAGGGCATGTTGATGTTCATGTTCAGCGGCAGGTTGCCGTAGGCAAGTGTTTGCAGCTGCATCATCTGCGGCCTCCCATACTGTGCACATTCCATTCTCGTCTTGTCGCGCTGACGACGATTCTTGAACCAGTTCGAGATCTGAGGAATCGTCTCAGTTATTCACACCATTTTCGATTGTATTCATAACCATAGAAGTATACCTGCACAATCTCTAAGTCTGTCGCTCTTGATATTTCTTTTTTCTGATCCAACGTGGGATACTGATTTTGTTTATAGAATTGCTTTAGGTACTGAAACTGTACTTTAATGAACAAGAAAAATACGCGAATAGAGTTTTTGAGGTTACTAACCTTTCGGCTGTTCTCTTTGAATGAGTATATAGTTTCTTGGCCATCCCAAATGCTTCGAGGAGGAGGATATTTTCGTCGTAATCGGTACTTCTCCACAGCGCCCAATTCCTTCCCGCGCTTGGATTCGTTCTGTAACAACTACTAAAACTCAAAACAAGGGAAGATAGAATATCTAGCAAACGGTCTACCGAGTTAAACCAGATCTGGATAAAATTTAAATAATGAGCAGTAGCATTCTTGCTTGCTATTCACATCGTTGTCACTATTGCTTAGAAATCACATAACCGTTGAGTCCATAATCTTAACTTCTCGTTTTAACTTTTTCCATTGCTTTGACTTTAACAGTGATTTTAGAGAGGAAAGAGTCCTTTCTATGATTCTCAATTGGAAAGGAAAGATCCAGGAATATTTATTCACATTTTCTCATGAACTAATCTTGTTGAGCTGATGGGAATTCGCCTTCCTCAGAGCCGTGATGTTACGAGTGGAACTTCAGTTCACCGCTCTGAGGAAGGCGAAATCGCGGAAACGTCAGTCATCGACCAAACAACAGCAATAGCTCATACCAACTTCGCGTCAGCTCAACAAAAATTCAGTTTATAGGAATATATAAATGAATATATCGATTATTTATGCCAAGGTTTGTAGAAATTCGGTTTTTTGAGTTATTTAAGGCATATTCAATACATCTCCCAATGGTTTATCGTCTCATCGTAGCTGGCAGTGTTCTTGAGTGTTAAGTTTAAGCGACTCCAATGTACAGCAAAGCTTTCACCCAACTCAGTAGGGTTTCCCAAATTGAGAAGGAGTCCGACCTTTCTATCTGGAAGCTCAGCTAAGAGTGAACCAATAACGGGAATCGCCACCGTCCTGGTTCCAAGCTAGTCGCACGGTGGTAAATTTCCTTCTAATGCAACACGGCAGAGAATGCCTTAGGTGGTGAGGAACAGAGGATGACTTCCGTTAGACCGACCACGGGATTCTAGAGAGACACAGTGGTTGAAACTGCAAATCTTCGCCCTCAGTGCCCCGCACACTGGGTCCTACCGTCTACGCCCTCGTGCGGTTAGCACAGCACGTCGGTGGAAACGTCTAAGCCAACACTACCACAGCACGCCACGGAGACTATTTATAGTGCATCTATAACGCCAGAACACCAACCTTTACGCTCTCCTTGAGAGCCGCCAATCGCATCAAACTCCATCTGATCGCCTTACGAGTGACGAAGAGCATGACGATCGAATTACGCCAATTAGATGACGGAACTTATGTCGTTCGTGGAAAGAAATTTCCGTTAAGAAATGTTGGCTTGTCGTGAACTCATCTATTTCCCATTTAGTCACCTCATTCGAAATCCTATTAATGTGCGTGGCCATTCTTCATCTCCAACTTACGAGTGACAGGAAAGTCAGTAACATCAGCCGTTGTTTACCAACTTCTATAGTTGATAGGGGCGAACCGGACTCGTTTTACAACCAGTTGTGGAAATTAATTCGCCAGGAAGAGTTCTCCTATAGATCAGTTATTGGAGACACCTGCCACCGCAATGTATCTTCCATGGGACCTCATTTTTCGAGAGGGGAGAGAATTTCCAATAGACATGGAGATCTCTAATCCATTCGAGATAAACCATGCTCTGACGAACAAAATGTGCTACCTCTTTAACTCTTCAGTGGGTTATCATTTATTACTGGATCCGATTATCACATTATCCTGCTAAAAGTCAATTCGTTATTAGCTGAACACGAACTTTGATCACCGTCCAAGAAACAAGGTAAGTCGTTTGTGACGAAGGTACTCTCAAAACATTGTCTTCTCATGGTTGGCAGGTAAACGAAGACTTGACCGACAAAATCATGCTTTATGTCAGAAGATGCCTCAAAACTTATGCCGCGCTCGAACTTTTCTCAATTTTTCGGACAAGAAGTTCAGACCGCATCTCTATCACTATTAAAGGGTTGCACGGAAAGAGAACGAAACTGAGCCTCGACTCTACTGGAACACACCCAACGCGGCTGATAATAAATGCCAGTTAAAGAGAATCATTTCGAGAGGATTTACATTGGTATAGGTGAAGAAGGTTATTGGAAGTTGCTCAGATGCCATCCAATCTGAAGAAGAGCATCGAGGATCTGTACTACAATATTGCTCAGCTACTAGCTATGAATGAAGATACTATTACTAAATCCTGCCATGATATGAAATTGATAACTGAGAAGTTCTTTGCCAAACTTTTCCGCTACACTGCCCCCAGCTGGAAAGCCAAATGCTCGCTGGTGAAAAATTGCAGGGGATTGTATCCTCTGAAGTTCGAGTTGCACTAAAAAGAAGAAGAGATTCATGCTTCTAGGACACGATAATATTACAGCAAACTTCGCTCGAGCATGAAGCCACGGATCACATGTACTTTTTGCAACTAATATCACATCATACGCTCAGAAAGAGACAATCCCAGACCAGTAGAGAGACCTTCGTAACTATCGTCCAGTATACTTGTTTAGTGCAGTCAGCAATGGGAGGGGTATATGGAAGGCGGTTAGGAGTCGTCTCCAAAAAATAAGCTCCATGTCCACTTTGGGAGAGTATGGCAAGCTACCCAGCCCCCACGTTCAGAGCCCAGCAAGCTATACGTGGGTATCAGAATGCTAAACACAGTAAAAAAAAAACGAGCCTCATTCCTCTAACCACGGAAGAGCCTACAATTTCGCAGCGTTGGGTAAAACGAGTAAGGCTGCTAAAATCTCAGGGCCAATGGAAGCTGCCTGGTTACAAAGAACTATGGTGACGATCTGTACCTACAATGCACGTACACATGCATTCGAGGCCTCGATAGAAGACTTGTTCATGCAAGCAAGAAGGATAAGGTACGACGTCATCGGCCTGGCCGAGACGAGACGACACCACCCATTCAACGCCGTCTATGACACTGGAGAACAGTTCTTCGGAACAGCGACAGTAGAGGAGTCGAAGACCTCGACGTTCTCATCAATACGAGTTTCTCCGTGAACATCGATTCATTCGAACAACTTACAACCCGGATCGAGCGTTTACGATTAAAAAGATGTGGATCAATACGGGCTTGGTCAATCTACGCGCCGACATCAAACTATGACGAAGAAAAAATTGAAGCGTCCTATACGGACTTGGGGAAGTTCTACAGAGAAGACCATACATTCTTCAAGGTTATCACTGGAGATTTCAATGCCAAGACTGGACCAAAAAGTGTGTCTGAAGAACATCACATTCTATTCATGGATTAGAATGGAACGAACAGGATGAGCGGCTATCTGAGTTTATCATGGCGACCAAGACTGGTAAATCGCAATTCCGGAAACCCCACTCTCAACGCTGGACGTGGCAATCTTCCAATGGAGAGTACCATAACGAAATAGACCACATCATAGTAAATAGATGGTTTTGCCTAACCGATGTCACCGTTTTCCCAAAATTCTACACGCGATCAGACCACCGCCTCCTTCGTGCAACATTATATTCCTCGCGGAAGGAAGAAAAAGCGGCTAAATTCAAAAATCGAAGCCCCAGAACAACCGCAAACTGGGAGTTATTCAATTCATTAGTCGGCTGTTGAGAAGATGCCGTTATCGATAACATCGACGAAGGATACGATCGGCTCACTCAACATCTTCACGTTAGCGCTATGAAAGCGAAGAGTTCGAAAGTTACAAATAGACGTCTGCCCCAGAAACACTCGAGCTGATACGCCACCATCGCACGAGCTGCAGGCAACAGCGAACTAGCGTCCGAACTTGTAAAACAATGCAGACAGGCGATAAAAAAAGTTCTTAAAGAGAGAAGAGCAGCAGCAATGGTCGAGGCTGCAGAGGCCGGGAAAAGCATTCGCAAAGCACACCGAAGCTTTGCCAATTACAAGACTAAAATGATTGCTCTCCGACGCCCAGACGGAGCAGTTACAGCGTCCAGAAAGGCAATGGAGAAAATTATTCCCGAATACTGCTCTGATCTCTTCAATGACCACGTCCACCTTTCGTGATATGAAATAGAGGAAAATGGATATGTTGTACCACCGATTCTCCCTTACGAAATTTGGCATGCCGTTTCGTCGATGAAAAATCCAACAGCACCAAGTCTGGACAGGATAAGACCAGAACACCTGGAGAACGTTCCGCCAGTCCTCGTAAACACTCTGGCTCGGCTCTTCACACGTTACCTGTCTGAATGCAAGGTCCTACTCAGTGGAAGACTATCAAGACCGTGTTATTGTTCAAGGAGGTGACCTACACAATATCGGCAACTATCGCCCAATCTGCTTACTGTTTGTCGTCTACAAACTTTTCACTCGAGTCGTCCTAAACAGGATTGACAGAACACTACACGAAGGACAACCATGTGAGCATGCGGGATTTCGAAAAGCATTTAGTACGATGGCCCACATCCACACGATAACAAACCTCACTGAGGTATCGCGAGATTACAAAAGACCGCTCTATCTCACTTTCATCGATTTAAAGAAGGTTTTGGTTCAATTGAGATAGAAGCAGAAGCCCTTGATAGTCTAGGAGTCCCTACTCAATACATAGAGATTCTTCGTGAGCTGTAGAAAAATTTCACAACCAAGATATCACCATTCTACAACGATATTAATATTGACCTCAAAAGAGGAGTTAGGCGAGGCGATGCCACCTCGCCAAAATTATTTACCGCCACCCTCGAGAACGTCATGCGAACCCTGGTATGGGATAATATTGGAGTGGAAATCGGTCGTCGGTTACATCATCTTCGCTTTGCTGATGACATCGTACTTATAATGCAAAACATTAGCCAAACGGAATGCTTGACGATTTTGATAAAGCCTGTGGAAAGATTGGTTTTCGATTAAACTCACAAAAACGATGCTCATGAAGAACGGATTGGTTTCGCATGCCCCATTAGCGCTCAACGGAACGAACATCTTCGAATGCTCCAGTTATGTCTATCTAGATCGGGAAATCAATATGATGAACGACTTAGCTCCAATGGTGAGCAAAAGAAACGAACGGTTTAGGGAGCTTTTAAGAGCATCGAGGATGTAGTGAAGAGAGCAAAAAACACCCGACTACGTGCCCAGCTCTTCGACTCAACGGTACAACGGTGAGCAAGCCAGGATTCCACCAGGGTTCTGACCACGTCTAAACCGTATCATGCGTCGTAGAAGTTCGTAGGGACTACCATCCGCCCCTTGTCCTTTATCGGCTACGAAAAGCATTTGCCAACGTCGAAGCGAATTCAGTCCTAGCAGCGCTCGTCATCGAAGGAGTGGACTCGTGTTTGTAGCTGAACTCAACTCACTGAATTTGGAGGGGAGAACGTTTTTAGGATTACGAACTGTGCTAAGCGTATGTCACTTTGTTCTAAGCAGACCACCGCCATGGATGATGGTTGCGCGGAATAAAGAAAACAAGTGGGTAGTGTGTTGAGGCCTGCGCTCCTCGTGAAGACGGGCCATCCAATTATTCAAGTATTAAGTGCATCTGAATGGCCATATAGTTAAAACAACTGCATTGGAGGACGTAGTTCATTGAGACTGCCTGGACCATTCAGAACATCCGAAATTAGCTACGACGAAAAATAGCGACAACATCGCTACTGTTGGAAACAAATGCAGAAGTGGGGTTTGGAACAGCTATCCCGGATTGAAAACGCTCTCTGTGCAAGTTTTTTTTTAAAAAACGTTCTCAATATTTTAAACAGTCAACTGTTCTTCTACACGTTCAAAAATTCATATCACGAGCATTTCATAAATTTTTGAGATCCTCATGTCAAGAGCATTTTTCTTAACCACTCACCTCCTTGTATCTGGCTTTGTACCATATTTCTTGCAATTCTTTGTAATATCGTTCATCGAATCTCGATCTCCCAATTACCTCAAATAACCGATCGAAATTCCCGGCGTGATAGAGCGCATAAATATAAGCTGTAAACATTTGATGGACATCTTTGTCTCCATTTTTGAAAAAATTGGCTTTAGAGGTAAAAGAAATTTTAAGAATTGTCCTTCAGGTGGCAAGGTTGGTCACCGACTGTATGGTCGGAGTTCTTTACGATAGCGCTATGAAAAACATATGATGGTCAACGTGTCTCTAGAGCTGGGAGAACCCACTGGGCTAGTCTAGCACTCGGCGGATAGAAATGAAAGGTTTGCTGGTGCCCGCTCGAATCACTCGACGATCAAGGGGCGACAGGTGGCATAGGTGATCCCTCACTTAATTATTTTAATCTACTGAAAAGACTTAAAAATTTTGGTTCCATTGCGTGAAAATTTGAATGGAATTTAGTAGGGAAGTTTTCACAGGCTACTCCTTTTAGCTAACGTAAATTTCATCTACCATGGTCGGTTCGTTAATTACTTTATTTTAATCTTAATACAGATGCAATTATTTCTTAACTACTTGTCACACATAGCTCTTATTTTTTAGGAGCCATATTTTTAAAAAACTTCACATGAAGTCTTGGACACTCTTAAGGTTCAAAAGTTGTCACTCTACACTAGCAATAAGTGTATTTGTCTAAGTTTGTCATCCAATAGCAAAAGAACTTTTAAAAACACGAAAATGCTGCATTTAACATCGGTCGTTTAATTCTGGTTGGTCTACTCACGTTAGAGGCAACGTAACCAGGAAATAATCATCTCTTCAAACCTATTCTGATGTTCTATTTAAAAACGGGTGCGCTGAGACTTTACAGGAAGACAATGCTTCTTGTCACTGGGTTCTCTTCTATACAGGGCCACCGAGTGGAAATGCCAAACACCTTCACATTTACAGAAACCCTGCTGAGAGTTGAACACGGCTGTATGTGGTAGTTTGGCACCTGGTACATTCCCAGCCATGTAAGGGGACAACCCACAGTCGGAATCTATCGCACTGTTTAGAATGATTTTGAGGAGATCAAAACCTACCTTTGTCGCCCTAAGAGAAGTTTATTTACGAAGCACATTGTAGACAGAAAGGAAGATTACATCCTTTACATTAGCAGTGATTCGATGCTAAGTCTATTTCTCGCACCATTTCACACTTTGAAACTAGGATCACACTATGAGAACTTCTTGCACGTGGTAGAATATAAGTTGTTTTCTATTATGAATCCATCAACCTTTCTCCCGCCCACTACGTGGACCAAATAAGGTGAGAATTCAAAGCGCCCAGTCTGATTTAACTAGTTTATCACCTAGAAGGTTATGTGGGTGTAAACTTTGCGATCTTGTGAAATCTCTCAACAAAACCTCAGTTCACACCATCGGACTAGGCCTAACTTAATTTCTGAAACACCTCATATCCGATATCGATTCCCACTTCGAACTGGTCGAGTGAAGTTCTTTTGCCTTCGAATCCGTGATCAAGGGAATCGATGGGGAACCAAAAATATTAGAGCTTTAAGAAAAGTAAATGTAAATGTTATACATTGCTAGCTAGTTAACAAGTTAACTATTGTTTTGCTTTCCATATTAAAATTTCTTCTTGGGATCATTGAAAAAGGCAAAATACGTGTTATATAAGTAATGGAGTGGAGGATTTATATTAGGAACGCTCTTGAATGCGAAAGTATCTCCATAAATTTAACTGAACTGTTCGAAGAAGAAAAAAAGCCATGTTATTGGAGACAATACCGCTGAGAGAACAGCGTCATCTAGAAGAGCGATTATTTCAACCAAGAGAACAAAACATGTGACGTAGTGGAATTTTTACCGATTCGAATGGGTTGTGATGTCCATTCCGAACAGAGCACTTGAGAGTCCAAATCACGGAAAAGATGAACCAGTTGATCACCTTCCTTCGCTTGGTATAGCGCGGTGCAGATGGCATCCAACTGAATGAATCTTCGTCTCTCTTTTGCCCATCAATTTGTGTTTATTTCAAGGGTCTGCGACAACTTTCACCTCTATTAAAGAGAAGGCACAAAAATCACTTGCGACTCAAATCTAAATTGGAATTGTTATAGAGGTAACAAGCAAACTAGTTAGCTAGAGTGAGACGACAAAATCTAAAGCACCAAATATCGTAGTAAATATTGTAGTTATTAAATATCTGAACGGATGTCTCTGCCATAGTTTCAAATACTACAAGGAAATTGGAAAACGCTAAACTAAAGCAATCGAATACCTTACCTGTTGAGTCGAGAATGACAGGCTGACCATAGTTCGAGTATTCGAAGATTAAACTTGATACTTTTGGTCAAGAAAATGCCGACACAAACAATTACTGCTGTCCGAGATGGTACGGACGGACAAAGGGGCGGTGCACGACCGCCGGCGGTGATTGGCCAGCTTGGAGCAATACCGTATGCCTTGTTGCGGCACCTGCTCATTTAATTGCCACTGCATCTCGAATGTCAGTCGCGAAATCTGATCAGTCGAGCATAAATTAGCTCATCCTTGCTTCGAAAACGTCGCGTACTGTGAGAAAAATGTCGCAGTTAATCTTGAATATACGGGAACTTGTGGCATTTTCTCTTCCGTGCTATTGGCAGCAAAAGTGATTCTTCTGCAAACAACTATTTTGGAGTTTAAAATTACTTTACAGTTAGGAAACTGAAAGATAACTAGTCGTTTCGCTTTATACGCACTTCAATCGAGCAATGAAGCGTCCAACCTTGTTAAAAAAATAGGCAAAAAGTAAGCAGAATCACAGCTGAACTTCTGTCTTTGTGCCAATGCCTCTACAGGACGACAAAATTTTGCAATTTAAGACCTGGTGCTATCACAAATTTGGAAGTGTTCACCGCGTTGAGACTGGACTTATCCACGTTCTCCTGCATTATTATGCTAACACGAGCCTTATAAAAGGTTTTAACCTGCCAAAATAAGTAAAATACATAAAGAAACCTTCTGCCAACCTTTTGTTTGCTTAATAATCCAGAAAAATATTTGCTATTTCTGTCGGGGTTTAATGAAAACCATTTCTAAAAGCTCAGTTTTTCTATGCTTGCTTGATTTTTGTTCAAGATCATCTTTTTCTCCTTTAATTGTTGTGAAAACCGTAGAAATAATTTGCCCTTGTCTTCTGTCGTATAGGTTAACAAGCGGAGTGCGCGAGATGTGTGCAAGTTAGATGTTGTTACTAATCTGCTCACTCCGATTATGATTGCTCTATTAGTCAGGTGTTCGATGGAACTTTCGATAAGGTAAACTGTTAATGCGTATGGATTACTGTGCATCTGGTGCATTGTCTGCAGTCATTCACGCTTCCTCTGTTCTGAAAGATTCTGATCAACTACTAATAAACGAGCACAATCTATGGCTCCTCCTGTGCATGGAGTGGAGTGTCTCAGTGAGTCCCGCAGGGTACCACGGGTGTAATTCTTTGTGTGTTTTTCACTTATTCAGATATGATGTGAACTATAGCGCTGATCAATTGCTAGAAATTATGCATTTGCTTGAGAGTATTTTTCGGTTTCTTAATCGTTGTTTTTTATAAGTTATTATTTCCTCACTAAAGTTTTCTTTTCAAAAAGAGTACTCCCATATATGTTTAGCCGAAATGTACCAGCTAAATGCTTAATTATTTATTTTCTACTTAGGTGTAAAATGTCAGTAAAATCAAGTGCGAGGAAGCATGCCAATTTTTATAAGTTTCAAGTTCTTGTGACAAGGGCGAGTATTTTATGGCACTAACTTATATTTAGACGAATCGTCTCTGTGGGTCGTTCAAACCTTGTGCTGTCCTATTCAATCGGTGTAATAGACCCGTAAGGACTTGAGATTATTGAGATAAAGCGCCATTAATCCCACCTTATAACTAAAGCAGAGTGTACTTGCAAATCGTAGGTAAAATCGATCGCTTTCCCCAACGAAACTGGTTTACCTTTCAAACTTTCCTTTTGTGATATGTTTACAAAAAACCGATGTTTGTAAATAATATCAATCCGACCTTTGCCGTGGTAAGAACATAAATACTATGGTTCCACAATCGTATCAGATACATTGAGCGCTAACGTGAAGTTCACCATCGAAGCGAGAAGCAAAAAAAAACTTCGAAAAAAATTGTGCTCTAGTCTTCGTCAAGGTAGCATCATCGATTTTGACGTCTACGTGTCATCTAGCTCTCCTCCGCCAGCGTGTTAAACTTGGCTGGTGTTTATCTACATTTATTTGAGTGTAGCTAACCATAACCATGGTGACAAGCGATTCAAGTGTGCTAACCGTATCGGTTGCAATTTAAGTAATGCGCAGCGTTTTGACATAAGTGGAAATATTCTGTGAGTAACTCCTACGGAATCCCGTAAATGGCAAATTCACAGCAGAACCGGGTTGAACTTCTCGATAGCTCTGTCAATTATGGCGAGTGACCAATTACGATCGGTCCACTTCAGAAGTGCGGTAGTTGCAAACGGTTGCAATGTTTGCTTAGCGGATTACGTGGTGGCGCGTCGTTTTGAGCGAGTTTTCCCGGCGGGGGTTCGCTTTCGAGGTCAAAACAGCTCGCTAATTGTCGCACACACACTGCTTCACACCTAACCATTGGCTGTTTTCAGATGTAGAGCCTATAATTTAGCAGTACGAGTTGATAGATCTACAGCACAAAATCATAAACATGTCTCCTTGTATAAGTAAAAGTTGTCTCATCTAATTTCCAATATTTGAATCAATTTAATTGGTCACATTGTGTTTCTTTAAGCAAAAATCCCTTTTGTCTATAAGTCCGCAAAAATCGTTCCAAAAAAGAAGAAGGAAGAAAACAGAACGCGTGTTGCGTAGCAGATAGAGATGCTTTGCAGGAAGCACGGTCACCTTTGGTCCGATCGGGCTCTGCTACAGTTTCAAAATCACGAAAAAATTGACATTTGTCCCGGTTGATAGACCAAAATTAGAAATTGTTCATTATTAATCATATATTCTTCAGGAATTCAAGATCTCTGGCACAGAAAATGCGACACGTAAAGAGTGTTGTAGAATCGAACCACGAACAGAAATAATTGATGCCTACGCAGGGCAAAAACATGACCGCTAAAAGCGAAATGTTTTCGTATCGAATAGTTCTAAACTGTTTAACGCAATTGTTGAACAATTGACCGTGATGAGTGGCAACAGCAATTGCGGATGAGCCGTGACGATCAAAGGGAGCCGTCAAGCTCATTAACGGATTACGTAGACCCTCGACGAACAGTGAATTCGAAAGAATGCCATCAAAAAGAAATAGACCAAGTTTTCGGTGGTCTTGTTATCCTCGACCCCTTTCTGTTCGCTAAATTCGTTGCTATTACGTTATGTTATATGAAATAAACACTATTTGGTAAGACGGCGAGTTATCAACTGATGTTTGTTTCCTTAACAACTAATTTTAGCCTTCTTATCGGTTGAATTTTATTCTAAAACGTAGAGGAAAAGGCACGTGTGTTAAGACACCGTATGGAAATTTTTGTGAGCTATCTTAAGCGCCTTGTGTGTTGCAGAGAATTTAAACAAGCAAAAAATAATCCCCTTGGAGGCGAATCTCGATTGTTCTCAGCAGTGCTTCCTGTCGTTGTTCTTTTCTACTAACATTGAGCAACAAAGTCAGCTTTGTCACAATGTGACATTAGATGGCGGAAGTAGAACATTGTTAGTGCTACCGTTTAATATGCCAAAGATCCTGACTCCACGCCGAATAAGCTAAGCAAGCTTCCCATTCCACGGTGATCGGTAATTTGCTCCGCCCTTGTCTTGGAAGCTCCCTCTCATCTATGAGGCCCAGGAACGCAGTCGTACGGGTACCGCAGGGTCAACAGGAATCGACTCGGCATTCAACAAAAATCATGAAGATAAACAAAAATCCTCAACTGGCAGTCGAATTCACGCGCGAGATTCGAAAACCTCCGAGGAATAGTGATGAAGGAGACAGTCAAATGCAAAAATTTCTGAAACTATTACAAAGTGTAATTATTGGTTCTTATAAAAAGGAAAAAATTTAGGGTTGCATTCATCGCGCGATACAACTCAGTTCGAAGTGGTACAAGATCCTCAGTTTTATCCACTTGTAAAAGTTATAGCCTAAATAAAACAACGAAAATTTAATCACATTCACCATCAGCGTGATTGGAACCGTAAATACTGAGTGCAGCAATTTCCAAGATTTAATTAGTTTCTCTGCTGAGGTTGCAGAAGTGTTTGGCTGACTAGATTGCGGTAAACTTGACCTTTCCAGCCAGAATCCGAAGAAGGCGATATCCGCCGAAATGTCAGCTGTTGTGAACAAATAATATATAGTAATAATCTCGTGTGTGCTAATTTAAAAAATAGAGAATTACTGAGTGCGGGATTCCAGTACTTGCTAGTATATGCAGTTACTTTGTTATTTACTTGTCACAGGACTAAACTCTACACGAAATAATCGGCAAATAACCAGATCAGCAGTACAGGCCATACTTGTGTAAGTGGCGACAGTGTGAGCGAAGCTAGTGGATCAGTGGCATGCAAACAGATGGAAAATATTAAACAAAGGAAGAAGAATTTTAAAAATCTCTCAAACTACTTTTTTCTGAGAAACACTGCTATGATGTATGCCGAATGTGTTGTGAGGGTTAGTGCATGTAAGCTTGCCCACGTCTCGGAACAGTGGATATCTGACAGGAAGTTATTGTCATAGAACTGACGATGGTCCGATCAACATGGGACGATATGTGTTCGACTTTTGGTCATTCGTATCCAACTTTTTATTTCCTTGACAACAGCGGAACATTGGAAATTCGTTGGAGAGTTCTTTCCTGAAAAAGAAGGAGTCTCGTAACACAAGTGAAATAATATCACTGTACACATTTAAGGAAAATCGTTTAATAATCGAATTGTGACTGGCTAACACAGAATATTTTCGCACTAAAAGTTTCGAAAGAACAAGATCTCTCCATTATTTCGACTTGGTGAGGACCGCTTAAAAATTTCCATCACGCTTTAGGTTACCTTCGTTTCATTGCACGACTACTGTTGAAAATGACTTGTTTGCATTCGCTACAGAACAATAGGAACAGCTAACGCTCTTATCAACGCCGGCATTGGCTGAACGTCAAGTTATGATATCACATATATCAATTTCTTTTATTTTTCCAAGAATTGTTCAACGTCTTACGAACTGTCCTTCTAAGGCATGAGTTAATCATTATTGCTGAGGTTTCTTGAGAGTCGTTCTTTCGAATGGTTTTAAAATCAATTTTTACGGGCACTGTAAACCTAAGTAAACAACTTTACTCCTATTAACAGCTTAATCTACTCGCAATCTTTGGATGATGAAGAAGGACTAGATGAGGTATGTTCATAGATTGTCTCCATAAGTCTAAAATGAGCCAAATTTAGCACGAAATATCAATGAGGACTGAAGCGAAGACAAGTTGCATGGAGAATTGTCTGCTCTGAAAATTCTGCAGTGAACACCGAAATCTGCTCGACCAAAATGTTCATGGACATAAATCGCTATCAAAACAAGCTATTTCAGATTCCAAATTTTGAACTGGAGATGTTTCGAGGCAAAACCACACTTTTCGACTACTGGAAGAAAACCGGGACACCACTGAAACTCAAAAATTGGTTCTCCAATGACTGAACAGAAATTGAACGGAAGACGTTATTATAGCGAAGGAATGGAGATTCGGCATTACAAACAGGCGACCCTTTTTTCTATATATGCCAGCCCATTTCAGTGACAAATAATGCTATATAAATTGGAAGAATCAGGAGACGAAACAGTCTCATTCATGGTATCTACTGAAAAAATCTCGTCTACTACCTGCCCACAATTTCGATCAAACCTGAAACCTGGCACGCCAGCTGTCCTTTTTGGAATTATTAACTTTTTTCAGTAATGTTAATTTTTGGATGATGATTACCTTCCTGAATTTAATATCTTACAGGAAGTTTTTCTGGAGTAGAGTAAAGCATGTTGTGGCAATTTATCAACAGTCGTGTAACATTTGTTGAACCTCGTCTTCTTTTTTCTGCATTAGACGATGTAATAATAAGCCTTATGACAGTATAAGAAGTGCCAATATGTTACCTTAAGTGTGGACTACACAGCATGTAGACAAACAATCGAAGGAGACTGTTTACAGCCACAAGAATGCTGACTACATCACTGGCCAGAGTGTAGAAACGAGTGCTGTAACGAAGTGAACATAAATGTGTTCACAATGGTCAGCGTTTAATAGGAATCCTATAAATTTTATTTAGAATATTGAGACGATTCTCAGGAATACCATTCTCTGGCTTAACTCTTTGCGAAAACCCAGGTAGTCCGCAAGGATGATTGAACATGTCTTCAAAATCTGATAGGAATTTATTACCATACGATACTTCGACGTATAGCGCATGAAGTAATGTGCGAGTTTTATTAATTATTCCTAAAGTAGTATTCAGCTGTGTTCTGTTGGACCAACGTCAACGTTAGTAGAAACATCTGTGTATCTCCTCACAGGTGATGCTACAGGTCTTTTGGGATCCATTTCACCGTAAATCTAATTTAGCTGCTAACAATTCTTCTTGTCATGCAACAATTCCAACGACAATCAGCCCAGATTTAAATTCTGCTGAACCGGTGAGATTAGACATTTCCAATAGAAAAAAATGCAAATTAGAAGCTGGGAGGAGATCTGTGTGACGGTTGGAACAGAGAGGACTACCCTATACCGTCTTCGAGTGGCAGGCATTATTCTCGACGAGATGTCTGTCCGATAAGCAGTGTTGGGTACTTCTGGAAGAACTATTAAGTCAGATATGTGAGCGCAAATGCCAAAATGTTGCTGTAGTTGCATGCGTTTTTCGAGATCAAGGTATTCTACACTTCCGCCGTACCCTATAAGAATCCCCTATTAGTCTTTACGCTAGATTTCGATACTATACTGGTATCCAGTGCTCCTAGTTTTCCGCATAAATGGTTCTCTCGAGATATTTGCAGTCTCTTCTTTCTTCTGCTTTGTTGAGCTTTTCAAGTGTCCTCATTGCTTCTTTAACAAGTTTCGAAAAATAAATCCGACGTGGTCGAACAGTAAACGTTCGAAGAACATCTTCTTACACACTTGAATTAGACCGCAATGAGCTCAATATTAGCTTGGACGTAGTCCCAACACTTCCCATCCGTTGTTAGAGTGCGTGCGCTTTATTGTTAAAAATTCACTACCATGACATGGTGTTATGAGAATTCTTCCCTAGGCCTGATAGACCAAAGCTGTATCATGACGGCCCGAAAAAGAGTTAGCAAGTAAGATGATGTCAAGCAATTTCTGCGATGTTTTTGTGAGGTTCTACATATCACCAGAAAATATTTCAGTTCATTTTTCAATCGCATTGTAGAAAAAAGGCAATGGAATGTAAGAAAACTGCAATATGGGAAAGCCGTTAAAGCAAATTTGTCAAATTAAAGCTGTAATTTCCAATAAGTTACAATATATGTTTTTCGAAACCGCGTAAATTGACGATATTTCATATGCGCTTTTCGAGCACCGAAATAATAATTAATACAAGAATTGATCAAGGGGCGGATAGCACAGTCGTAGTGATGTCCGTCATCACGAGCGCAGTGCTCGTTTGATTCCTCTCCGGGCCAACTAAGTCTCTCATCCCTCCGGGGCCGCCGGGAAATTGGTACCGGACGTGTCTGGGAAAACACAATTCTCTGCAATAGAACTCGGAACGCTCCAGCCCCGATACCTCAGGACTCCAGGGAGAATTGCTCGATCAGCATTCTACGACGTTCAAGATGAAATGGGAATCCTTAAGCGGTAACCGAACCCACACGTAAAAGTTGAAAAATTTTGTAGACAATGGATGCGAGGAAACGAATCGAATGTGGGAAGTGCTGAGATCCGCACAGTAGACGTGAAAACGGATCAAATACAATGAAATAAAAAATAAAATAACAAGAATTAATCTCTGGCGATGTTCCTACCTGCTTCCGTCATCGTTAAAGAGCAGAGAATTCTCGGGAAAAACATTTTCCATGACAGATATGAAAAGCGATAGCGACGAGCAGCAGAGATACGTTGAGGTGATTGAGACCATCGTCCAAGTGGCGTAGCGTACCTCGTCGCGGCGTTTCTTCGACGACATCATCGATTCTGTGAAGTGTTACCATAGGTGTAATACCGTTGTCTCCATATGAGTATCGATTAAGATTGGATACTTCTTGAAAAGTGTCCAGATAACTTTAGTAAGAGTGCCGAATATTGAAAGCTCTTAGTATTGACAGTAACAAGTTGAGATAGAGCATTCACTGAATAACGGATAGTGCTCCAATCCTAAGAAGATAAGGCAAACTGCCACAGTGTCTTAGAGTCGAAAAACATTGAATGTCATAATTCGATACCATAACAGTGGACGTATCATCGATACAATTTTTCTTATGTTGATAAATAATAGGGGAGCGTGTAAGCTAGAGGTGCTCTGTGCTACAAAAGGGGTTCCACTCCGCGTTCCAAGCTAACCAAACCTTCCATTCCTCTGAGGCTAACAAATTGGTACCAGACCTATCTGCAGCGATAGCAACACTGACTCGATACATCGGTAGCCACGGTGAGTCATTGTACAGGCCAGATATGCATTCAATCACCTCTTAAAGTGGCTCAATAAAGTCGAATGTATGGCGCATCCCTCAGGGATTGATCAACGCCGAGAGCTTCATCTTTGTTTAATCGCTTTAATTCATTCGAGCACACGTTCAATCAGTTGGCTTGGCGATAAAAATACATGTTTGGTTTAGATTCTGTCACGGAACTTATAATTACAATTATCACTTTAGTAATAAATAATTTATTGAAAGCAAGTGATAGCTTTTAGATATTTTCGCCTTGGTGTAGTTATTCCCATTAACCACTGACTTCAAAACAATTCTGCTCTCCTGCACTCGTTCAGAAACATCGAGACACATACTTCAAATGATGACTACGCCTCACATGTCACAACCAAATTTGTGAGTTATGAATTTTAGAGTTTGGCATGTTCGTCGTTTCCTATCGTTCTCGACATAACCCCCAGCAAGGTGAATAATAGCAATTTTGAGTTTTGCATTTACAGGGGTTATTCTGCCGTTGTTTTTAAATGAGCCCCACTGAACGTCATCTAACTCCTTAAATTTCTACCCAGGTTTATTTAGACAAATCTCAAAAGGAGACGTTTTTGTTTTACAAGAACAGCGATGAGCTCCTTTAAGAGCTGCAACACATCCATTGTATTCATAAGAAGAAGTCTCTCTTTCTGATTGCCCACTTCTGCGCTCTTTGCAACGGTTTACTGCCTCACTGTGCTTGAGAAGTGTACATGGTTGTCAGGCTGTGATATACTGCTTCATTTCCCCAAGTAGGGCATCCCAAGCCGAGAAGGAGCCCAAGGTTTTAATCCGGAAGTCCAGCTAAGAGTAAACCAACATTAGAAAACACCACCGACTTGGGTATCAAGCTAGTCGCAAGGTGGGAAATTTGGGGTGGTCATGACCTAAGGCAGGCTTCGGCTAGTCTGACCTCAGAACTCTAGGGAACAGTGGCTAAAGCAGCAAATCTCTGGAAAGTGGAAATTATATTGGGAAACGTACAACCAATGAAGACGAACCATCTAAGTATCTAAGTAAGTAAGTAGTTCTTCGCTCAACTAAAAACCTCTTCGTTAGTGAGCAATCCATCGATCTTACTGATTTTCAACATTTAGCGCACGATGTTCGCCAATGTTGCATTCATTTTTTAGCACGGCAATCACTATTATCAACAGCCAGCACTTTGTATGAAACAGCGTCGTCGAATGAGTATACCTCATTCAAGAGATGCTCCACTGAGGAAGATCCGATTCGATACGAAGACGAAGACACCATATCAAGAAGAACGAGAAGACGAAGAACTGTAAACCATCGACAAGGACCATCGGCTCTGATGAAGACGAAGATGTCGGAGTGCTAGCCGAACAAAGATTGTTTGTCAACCTTGCGTAAGCTTATCAAAGAAAGGATATATAATTACAATTTGTAATTAACACCTCACTGAATACAACATGGAGCAATTACAGACCGCGTTTTACTACCTCAAACTAAGCAAAATTTACTGCTTCGAATGAACTGACCTTTTCTGATCAACTCGCCCACTTTGGGCACGTCGATGAAAGTGGCGACGGCCCAGCCGATGCTGTGCAATTTTCGCTTCGTCAACACCACAATCGAGACGTTCAGAATGAGCAGGACAGCAAAAGGAACGAAGATGTGAAGCACCTTAAATTAAGAGCGTCCTGGAACATCACTTCTAAGAAACACCACAAAAAGCAAAAATGAAGTAGGTTTAGGACACGGACAAATGTTTTCATTACTTAACATATTACCAACACGTGTATTGATTTTAATGCCTATGACGCGAAAACGGTGTACAAATTCAGACCAACATAACTTGTTCATATCAAAGCTTATTGATTGAAATATAAACTATTCTAATCTACCAAACTTTTCTCATAAAATGGAGTGCTTTTTTACTCCGAGGACGGAACTAGAATTTTCTGGACCCTAAGAAACCCGCGTCTTTTGTCTCAAGACTCATATTTCGAACACGAATACAATCAAAAAAGCGGATTTCGTCTAGAAGAGCATACTGGTGTTCTCCAATACATTTGCTGGTTTTTCAGACTGCATTTTTAATTTTTGGAAAATTCAACTTTGAACAAATCTAAGAGGGCACTCTACGGAAATTATACACACTTTAAGACGAAAAAGCTAAGTCTCTAGGAGTCTGTAAGGCTAGCAAGTATTCCACCATATTAGTTATAAAAGTTATCGTTCGCTGTCGAAAAGTTAGATTCGTGGCAAATATATAAAACACCTTTCTAAGGTTTCATAGCATTTATTTAGTAATAAAGATGTCGGTGTGCAAAAACGCTTTGGTCTTATAAATCCGACAAAACTGAGCAATCCTGAGTTATTCTGCGATGTTGAAACCTGTGATTCTTATGCTGATAGCACCGGGTTACAGAGCTAGAATTGAAAGATCTAGTTGTGCCTTGAGCAGCGCTTCATATTTTCAAACACTCACCGACATCACATAGAAGTTGAAGATTTGATAGTGCTCCCATCCTGCCAACAAAGGCACATAGTCATAGCTCTGCAACGAGCGGACATTTGGAGAATCACATCCTCAGCTTCCAAAGCATTTAGTTTCTATCAGCTCTATCAAGGATTTAAATTTGCTGTTTTCTTGACAAGCACAAACGAGGCTTTTGCAATACCCTTTATTAACAAACGCCCACGTTTCGGTATCTCGCCTTCGTCAGAATCTGGGGAGGTCAAGTTGACTGCATTGCAATCAGTTTTTGTGAATAGTGTAGCCTAATAATACAATAGTGATAGAATGTCTGACGATAATGATATAGCACAGTAATGAATAGCACAGTACAATAGTAGCGTCGTGTCTGCTCATCAGGAAAATAACGAATTTTTGATCAATGTCGAGGTTAACGGAAAGTGGGAAATACTTTAATTTGCTTTCGTATTCTAGTGGAACCACATTTCACCTCGAATGGGGCACCTCTTCTTGCTTCCTGCTTCATATTTGACCCAAAAGGAATTGTGCCTTTGAACTTGGAATGAACATAATTCAGCTCGTAGTCAATGTTATCCACAGAACTAGAAATCCGTTAACGACGCTTAGGCACGGATTATCGACGTCTCTGAGTATCGAATTGAAATTCTGTTTTTTCTCTTTTGGAGCCCAAAAACACACTTCGTTTTTCTCGTCAAGGCAGTATTTTAAACGGCGACCGCTTGAAGGAACGGGATTTAAGGAAGGAAAACAAAACGGTGATTTCCAAAGTAATGGATATTAGCAGCTTCCAAATTTGAATAAAAAAATCTAAGAACTCTAGGCGTCGACCTTTTATTTGCAGCCTACTCTAATTTTTCACGGCAGGGTATGATGTGAAATACAACCATAACGGTGCTGAGATATTCGCAAAAGTTGGAGGCCGGGCCAGATCGGACAGCGATCACTCTTTCCGGGGCTCGCGTATTACACGCAATGCACGTATTACGTAGAAAACTAGCTGAGAGAAACGCAAAGCAAGAACCTCAGTGGTGAAGTGTGTAATGCGCGAAGCCCCAGAAAGATAATCGTGGTCCGATCTGGTCCAGGGTCCAGCTTTAGCGAATATCTCATTATGGTTGTGGTTGTATCCCACATCATACTCTAAACTTATAGACGTGTGTGGCGGAGTGGTCGGAGGCGCCCTGCAATGCACACATAAGGTCGAGCGTTCCCTCACCAAGCCTTACTGGCTCGATACATCGGTAGGCTAACGCGAAGGCCAGACATGCACTCAATCACCACTAAACGACGCTTAATGAAGTCGAATGCGTGGGGCATCCTTCAAGCACTGATCAGCGCCGAGAGCTTTTTTACTCTAAACGTCGTATAAATTTAGTCCAAATTCAAATTTTAAAGAAAGTTGAAATTAAAATGATATTTTAAAAAAATTATTTATATCTCCAAGGCAATAACGCAAGAGCTCCTCTGTAAGTCTATCAAATTCTGAACTTCTGAAATATTGCAGATTTCAAAGGATTACCGGCAGTTATCGAAAAACGACCGTAGAGCCCACATTCCTAACCTCATTGGTCGGGCATTAAAGCAGAAAATATCATTAGTGTTCCTTGCCGACATTAGTTAGTTAATTGCTCCATTACTAAAGTATATATATATATATTCACAAGAGGTGTCCCAGCTTTGCATTTCATTCGTGAGATGCCATCCCTCCACCCAAACTCCAGTGTTGCTTGCTCTATTTTCTCCTGTAGGTTGGAACAGCGGTTTGACGCGGAATCTCCATGGTCCGATGGACATATTTGCGGGCCTTTTCCTCTCCCATATATTCTCGCGAGTATCGACTATTACCTCATATTGAAGAAACATTATGTTCGAAATAACATCATGTTGCATCCCAGTTCTCTCGTTGGCTGTCGAGTGCCTCGACTGGATATCACTAAAGCCACCATTTGCCCTCGCTGCATGAAAGACTAGCCCATTAGTTCTGCTCACTCTAGCGACTTCATTATCCTCATATTTTTCTTCTCTGGTCTTTCTGATGGAGTCAGAAGAACGGATCGATGGTCATCGTAGGTCATCGTTGGTCATCGTGATGTGACCTGGTCATCGTGATGCCATAGGGCTCAAAATTCCATTGGACCCAACCTATTCTAGTAGTTCTTGCATACCGGTGCCCATATGACGCATTACGTTTTCAATAAATCAGATCTACACTGCGACATGCATGACGTTCTTCTAAACTGTGATCATTGAAATTGCTGAGACTTTACATTCCCTCTCACTTGCTTTATACATGATATTTCCAGCATCTACCACTTAATAACGCATTCACTAAGGCTGACTAATCTTTCATCTTGCTTCTGTAGATTCCAGGTTTCAAATTTATAGGTTAAAGCGGAAACAGCTTCTGAGTAAAAAGTCGTTTGTTCTTTGTCCTCTTCACCACATCCGCGACGCTCTTGCATGCTTCACGACCTGGTCGTCTTCTCTTGCGCATCTCTGGAGCTAGGTCGTTCATAATTTCGACTTCTTGATCCAGATACAGTAGCATGCCATTTCACTGATCACAAGTGCAACATCAGAAACAGACCATTAATGTTTTTGATATGTTAGCGGAAATTTTTTTCTTTACCTACTCTTTCGACAACGGCAACACCCTTCTATCTGGCTAGTGCTTGATGTTATAAGAACGATATAGTCAACAAGCTGAAGATACTGTTGCTCCCGGCCATCAAACTTAGTCCTTTGCAACCCTATTCCGGTTTTCACATGACATTAGCAAGAGTGGTCGCAGACAATTTTTGCAAGACGGTACCACATTTTCAACCTTCTCTCTATAACCACAACGTTGCTGAGATATTTGCAAAACTCTGGACCGCAGGTGTCTATGGTGGGGAACGAACGCGCTATTGTCCTTTCCGGGGAGTAACAGTGATGTTCGTTCCGTTGATCGTTAATGGGGCATGCGAAACCAATCCGTTCTTCATGAACATCGTTTTTGTGAGATTTAGTCGAAGACCAATCTTTCCACAGGCTTTATCAAATTCCGGTTTTCGAAGTTGTTATGCAGCTACTAATAATCTTTTTATACTAAAACCTTTTACGCACAGACAGTGTCTTAGCTGATTTGAAGGTCCTTTTCAAAGCCAAAAAAGGGCAAAGCGGTCTCAGTTATCCACTGATTGTCGCCAGTTACTCTGCCATACTCGTTGGAAGGAAGCTCTAGTGAAACTTTCATCAATTTATACGCTATCGCGGTGTCGGATGAGTGGCTCGTATTTCTCACAGAAGTTTCTGATAAATCCATTTTCTCAAAGGTAGCCTTTAGATGTGAACATAGATCAAGGGTAAAGGATAAAGCCTTCGGCGTTGATCAACCTCTGTAGGGTGCCTCATTCATTCGACTTCATTAAGTATCGTTAGAGGTGATTGAATACATGTCTGGCCTTTACAATGACTCGCGGTGGCCTACCGATGTATCAACTCACTGCTGCCATCGACCTCTCCCCCACACGTCTGGTACCGATTTCCCGATTCTAGATGGATGAAGGCGTAGTGGGTCTGGATCTCGGGATCGAACCATTTATATTGCAGGGCTCCTCTAAGCAGTGCGCTACACTCATGAACATAGATGTTATATGAAATTTGAAATTGCTTTCAGGTTTCGTTTCTTGAACTATTTGGCTTTGTCTCCTTTTTGCGAAAGTTGCACGGAGCAGGGAATGGACGGATCCCATATAAAACTAATAGCCACATTGGTTAGTAAACCAGAGACTGACTACAATGTGGTTCCATTTGTTACGATACTTTTGGTGATAGACAGCTGAATGCGACTTTTGAGATTGTGAGGTCCAAAGAATGATGTTGATCACTAGGATAAACTCAGAGCTCCAAGCCCATAGAGAACTTCAGAGTTCCTTTTCCTCATAGCTTAACATTGAAACATAAACGATAAAGTTCTTAAAAGAGGTTGGGTCGACAACATTTCAACAGCAAAACCAGAAGTTCGTTCGAGCAATTAGTTCTTCTCAAAACGACATCAAATCCGCCGATTCTTGTACTGCTGCATGCTTTGAACGACGGTCCTCCATCAAATAGCGCTTTATGGGCATGTGTTCTCTTCCTTGCCAGTTCGATAACATCGTATTTAATCTTCTTAGTCTGCACCGTCACATTCCCAATGGGTGATCAAGATACCAGTGTCCGCACCTCTCAAATACAGAATGTTACCAGGGTCCTTCCATATTTACGCGTTCTAAAACTGTTTTGGGAACAGAGTTTTTACGTCTTTTGGGAATGAAGCCTATTACTTTCATTTTAGACGACTGATAGCCTCGGATAGTTTGCTATTCTTTCCTGGAGTAAAAAAGAAGGACATTCAAGGAAAGCGACTTCTTAAAATGTAAATTCCAGTTGTTTCATGACAGACCACTACCATAATTATTTTGGAAGATGCACTTCACACATATACAGGCAAATCAAAATACCATGCTTGAATATGTCTACTAAACAAGACGTAAATGAAACAAATAGCATTTAGTGCTTAAGTGCTACACTACAACATTCTTTTTTACATGAGCCCTCTTCGCATGCACTGTGGTCGTTGATTGCTGGTCGATTCAACTGTCACCATCTAAAATGTGATCCTGGGATAATTGTGCTAGAGGTCTCCTAGGTATTCTGGAACGCAGTGAGCTAAACAGACAAGTTTGACGCGAATTCCAAATCACGAAGGCATGCAAATCCTGGCTGGTAGGTAGCGAGGCTTAAGCGTATTCAGCGATGTCACTACTACTGTGATACTATACATCAACCGATTGTGCCAGTCTCTTAATACATCTTCTGCAAAGATTTCAAAAAAGTTAACAAAGTTTTTTTGTACAAATTAGAGTATCACTCATGAGCTTTGTTATGCTGCTCCTTATAATCGATGATTTGTGTGTCAGTGATGATTTCTGACTGTATACAGATTTCTTTTATCCATTTTCCCTTATTTCATATTACGGAAGGTGGATGTAGCTATTGAAGGGATCCGAGTAGTATTCGTGAATGATTTTCTCCATTACCTTTCTGGACGCTGTCTGTTCCGTCTGGGCGTCGGAGTGCAATCATCTTGATTTTGCAATTGGCGTAGCTTCGATGGGCTTTGCGAATGCTTCTCCCAGCCTCTGCAGCTTCGACCATCACTGTTGCTCTTCTCTCTTTAAGAACTTCTTTTATCGCCTGTCTGCATTATTTTGCAAGTCCGGACGTTAGTTCGCGGTTGCCTGCACCTCGTGCGATTCCACGCTGGCGTATCAGCGCGAGTGTTTCTGAAGATAGACGTCCCTTGGTGACTTTGGAACTCGGCTTTCACTGCACTAAGGTGATAAAGCTGAATGAGCCGAACGTATTCTTCTTCGATGTTATCGACAACGACATCTCCCCAACAGCCGACTAATGAATTGAATAAGTCTCAGTTTGCTGGTTCTGGGACTTCGGTTTTTGAATTTAGCGGCTTTTCTTCCTTTCCGCAAGAAATAAATCTTTCACGAAGGAAGAGATGGTCTGATTCCGTGTAGGATTTTGAGACAACAGCGACATCAGTTAGGCAAAGCCTTCTACTTACTATGATGTCGTCTGTTTCGTTATGGTACTCTCCAATAGGAAACTCCCACGTCCAGCGCTGAGGGTGGGGCCTCTGGAATTGCTAGTCACCATGGATGGTCTTCGTCGCCATGGTAAACTCAGATAGCCGCTCACCCTGTTCGTTGCACTCTAATCCATGGGTTCCAGTGTGACGTTCTTTAGACGGTCTCAGTCTGATCTTAGCGTTGTAATCTCCAATGATAACCTTAAAAAATGTAGGCTCTTTTCTGCAGAGCTTCTACAAGTCCATATAGAACGCTTCGACTTCTTCTTCGTCTTCCTTAGTTTAATCTCGGCGCATAAACGACGAAGATTGTCAAGGCCCGAATTGACCCACACCTTTTTAATCGTAAACGTCCGATCCGGCTTTTAAGTTGTTCGAATGAATCGATGTTTATGGACAAACTCGCTTTGACGAGAACGTCGACGCCTTCGACTCCTCCACTGTAGCATGTTCCGAGGAATAGTTCTCCGGTGTTATAGATGGCGTTGAAAGGGTGGCGTCTTCTCGCCCTAACCAGGCCTTATCCTTTTTGCTTGCATGAGCATGTGTTCTATCAAGGACTCGGATGCAAGCGAACGTAAATTGTAGGTGCGGATCGTCACCTTAGTTCTTCGTGATCCAGGTAGCTTCCATAGGCCCTGAGATCTTAGCAGCCTCTCCGTACTCGTTCTACCTACGCAGCACAATCGGGGCTCTTTGGGGGTCTGTGGAATGAGGGCCATTTCTTTTACCGTTTCTAGCCTTTTGATATCTACGTATAGTTTGCTGGACTCCGAATATGGGGCTGGGTATACTCACGTGCGATTCCAGATTGGCGTATCAACTCTAGTGTTTTTGGCGAAAGACATCTCTTGGTAACTTTCGAACTCTCAGCTTTCATAGCGCCAACGTGAAGATGTCGAATGAGCTGATCGTATTCCTCGCCGATGTTATCGACAACGGCATCTTCCCAACAAACGGCTAATGAAATGAATAAGTCCCAGTTTGCGGTGGCTCTGGGACTTCGATTTTTGTGTTTAGCAGCTTTTTCTTCCTTCGGTGAGAAATAGAATCTTGCACGAAGGAGACGATGGTCTGATCCTGTGTAGAATTTTAGAACAACAGTGATATCGGTTAGGGAAAATCTTCTATTTAGTATGATGTAATCTATTTCGTTATGGTACTCTCCATTGGGAGATTCCCATGTCCAGAGTTAAGGATGGCGCCTCTGGAATTGCTAGTTATCATGGATGGCCATGGTCGCAATGATAAACTCAGGTAGCCGTTCACCCTGCTCGTTTCATTCTAATCCATGGATCCCTATGTGACGTCCTTTAGAGGTTGTTCTTAGTCCAATTTTCGCGTTGGAATCTCCAATGATGACCTTAAAGAATGTATGGCCTTTTTCCTAGAACTTCTCCAAGTCCATATAGAACGCTTCGACTTCTTCTTCGTCATAGGTTGATTTCGGCGTGTAAACGACGAAGATTGTCAAAGCCGGAATTGATCCACGTCTTTTTAACCGTAAACGCCCGATTCGGGTTGTAAGTTGTTCGAATGGATCGATTTTCATGGACAAACTCGTGTTGACGAGAACGCCGACGCCGCCGACTCTTCTACTGTCGCATGTTTCGAAGAACAGTTCTTCTCCGGTGTCATAGACGGCGTTGAATGAGTGGAGTCGTCTCCTCTCGGCCATCCCGATGACGTCGTACCTTATCCTTCTTGCTTGCATGAGCAAGTCTTTTGTCGAGTACTCGGATGCAAGTGTACGTGCATTGTAGGTACAGATCGTCAACTTAGTTCCAGGCAGCTTCCATTGGCTCTGAGATTTTAGCGGCCTCTCTGTACTTGTCCTACCCAACGCTGCCGAATTGGGGGCTCCTTCGAGATCAGGGAAACGAGAACCGTTTTTTTGTTTACTGTGTTTAGCACTTTGATACCCACGTATAGCTTGCTGGGCTATGAACTTGGGGGCTGGGTATACTCGCGGGTAGCTTGCCAGGCTCTCCCAGAATGAGCAGAAATTGTTTGTAAATGTTAATAATAAAATGAAATGCATCGTAATGGCATAATTTCTTAAATTTGCATCCTACTTCTGATTTAAAATAAAGCGGCGAAAAGGCAGAAGCAGTGATAGCGCTAGCTCTGTATGAATTTACTAGCGTTTTTTGTAAGTTGGTAGGACTAAACCGTTAAAAACAGTCACATTCATAACATATATTGTGCAAATAATCCCAACAGTTTTATCTGGGCTTTTTTTCCTGGAAGCCATTTTATCTAAAAAATTGCTGACCAAGAAAATATTTGATTAACTTGTTCCACTTGCTAAGTGTAGGCCTCTGACTTACCATGTAAATAGGACATTCCGGGCGAAAAGCGATCACATACTCGAAGAATGAGGGCAGACGTAATGCGAGCACACAGATGAGAACGATCCCGATAGTGAAGTACCGGCCGTTTTCCCTTAAACAATTACAGCACCAGTTTTGACATCAAAAAGTAAATACCCACATATTTGTATAAATAAGCGATTCCAATGAATTCTTATTGTTAGTCCTCAGCAAAAGCGCGTGATGAACCATTTCCTAGAGAGGGAGAGAGAGAGAAAAGGAGAGAGACAGAGAAGGACATGGAGAGAACGGCGCTGCAACGAATGCACCTTCGTCATAAAGAATCACATTGTTGCTTTATCCAGCAGAAGTAGAATCTAGGCAACATAGCTGGATCAAAAACAATGGCCAGTTTGTATTCATGGAAAAAGTGTCTAAAGGGGGTGAGAAACTTACGAGACTATGAATCCGAGGGAATGGATCTCGGCCACAACAATGAAGCGCTCCATCGTCGCACAAAGAACCATGTACGTCGACGCAAACTGCACTAAAACATTGCGCAAGATATTGTTGCGCTCTCAGTGTATGAAGCAAAAATGATGCAGGTTAGTAAAAATCGCAAAATTCTGTCAAATGGGTAAGTACGGCACTACAGCGGATTATTTGAAACGAGTTAATCACTACTGAAAGTAATAATGGTGCAATCGCTGAATATCCCAAGTCTAAGAGACAAATAGCCATCAATTATTCGGACAAAACTGAAAGAATACTTGACCATTGCAACAAACAAAATTTAAAAGCTAAGAACTCTTAGAAAAAAAATACTAATATTCACGAAAAAAGCTTCATGCCTGAGCAATGTAAAATTCCGAACACAAAACGATAGTTGCACAAATTATGATCCCACAAATCACTTGGATACTTGGGCACTGGGACGGTTCGTCCTCATTGGTTGTGTGGGCCCCAGCATGTTCTCCTTTCTTGGGAGTCTTACTGGCTTAGCCACTGTGATTCCCCGGAGTCTCGAGATCAGGCTGGCTAAGGTCTGCAACACGCCGCCACAGCGCAAGGCAGTGGCTGCTCTTTTGGATCAGAGGAAGATTCGTCACCACTAGTTTGATACCAAAACCGTGAGTGGATCCTGGTATCGGTTCACTCTTAGCTGCCGGGTGGATGAATCTCATCGACGTATTTCGCAGCCCGACACTCAGGAACACCTCTTTAGCCACGATGTGGCGGCAAACCGTTGGGAAAGATCCCGTACATTACTCGGGAAAATCCATTTTTGGAAACTTTTAAATCCGACGGAAAATTATCTATTTCGTCCATCCAGTCGATTCACAACTGGAACTCACTAATCAAGTATGAGCACTAGTGCATGCAAATGAAGAAATTATTTAATGCTCAGGATTTTTGTCCTTAAGCAACCTCTTTTTTTGCCATTTTCCTGGAATTCCAGACATATTTATTCATTTTTTGAATGAAAAATCGTACCCTAGCTCACAAGAAAGAAGACCAAATATGAAGCAAGCTAAATACAAACCCATTCGACTTGTGCCGAAGACAAGCATTGCGTAAACATGCCATACATGGTATAGGAACTCGTTCTGATGATAGATGGCCAATGCGTCTACAGTGAAGAACGGAATGTAAAGCAAATCCATGAGGAGATCTACAACATCGTAGATTCATTTGTTGGAGATGTGCATTACCGGCAGCAAAGGCGAAAGTGTAGGAAACAAGGGCAAACCCATTATAGCTAAAACGAGCAGATAGAGTGCTGGTGATCTCCTTGAACGGCAACGAGAAAACAACCGCTGAAAGCACTCTGTTACTTCTACAGACCGGAAAAAGATACCATCTGAAATGTCTTTAGATTATCCTGAAAATTACCTAACTTTTTATTGAAAATACTTGTACACAGTTTAGACCGTTTTCAGAAAAGAATTTGTCGACATATAAGAAGTTTAATCACCATAACATAAACACGTCCCTTTTCCCTTTATTTAATCGAAATTATTTCAATTCTACTGAACTAAATCCTCAAACTGATTGTCTCTCAGCTATTTCTACTGATCTCGATAGAACTAGTTGAAAGACAGATGAAGCGAAGGACACGCATGGTGTGGTGATGAACACGCTAGTCCCCGGAAAGGGTAATAGTAATAGCGAGTAATAACACCACAATCTTAACCTTTTTATTTACTGCCTATTCTTTTTAACGGCAAGATATTTCGCGAAATATAACTATTATAATACTGAGATATTTGCAAAACTCCGGACCGCAGGTGTCTGCGGTGGGGAGCGAACGCGCTATCGTCCTTTCCGTGGGGTAACGCGTTCACCATCACACCATGCAGACCCTTCGTTTCGCCTATCTCTCAGCTAGTTCTGTCGAACTTTTGCCATCAGCAATCACCCGTCAACGGGATTGATCTGAGCCCAAATCGGCAACGAACCCAGTTAAGCTCTCGTATCTCAGCCTCACTGAAGTTATATTTCGCAATATACCTTGCCGTTAAAAAGAGTAGGCAGTAAATAATAGGTTAAAACTTGTCAAATTTGCTCAGTATCCGAAAAACGTTTGACAGCAAAGGAGAAACAAATCTTTCAAAAAAAGTTTTCTTCAAAACAGGTTGAAGGGGTGCGAAAAATTAAACCAGACTATTTAAAAAAGGACCATTTAATGCCGGCAGATGAACATATCGAATAGTTCATTACATTCATCCTTAAAGCCTAAATTCAAAGAAAACTTTTTTTTCTAAAAAAAACAAAAGAGTTGAGATTAAAACAACCCAACAGAAGTCATCCAGAAAGTTTAGATGCTTGGTAAGGAAATGTCATAAATGAAGAACTCATTTCTCTATGAAATCTAATCCGATCATAACGAAGAGTGCTACGACATGGTACATTTGCTGGTGTTCTTTCCTAAATGTGGACAGAACATTCCCTCCATCAATGGACAAAACGTGAGGGACGAAAACTGGAATGTTGAAGAAACTGTACCTATTATTTGAATGGTCCAAACAAACTTACCAGTAGAATGCAATTACAGACAACGCCAGCCAAGGCGATCGGTGTTCCGACGTAGACGATGACTGCGTAGCGCCAGAAGTCGTAGCTTTCATTGCGTGAGCATTCTTCTGAAGACATCTAAACGAGATAAATGATAGAGCATAAGGATTCTCATTGTGCACAGTGGTACCCTTCATAGAAATATCTTACAAATATTTATTTTCTTACTTATAATCATTATTAATTTTTCACAGCAATGTTTCACAAATAATTTTTTAGCTATACTCATTAACATTATTTGTAGATTAATGTTAAAAATATATCTAGATACCTATCTAGAATAAGGGCGCGTTCGACACATGTGGAAAAGATCTCCGCGCCCATGGTCCACCAAGCCTTCCATCCCTCCGGGGTCGGCAAATTGGTACCAGACTTGTCTGGGAGGATAGCAGCACTGGCTCAATACATCGGTAGACCACTGCGAGTCATTGTAAAGCCCAGATATGCATTCAATCAACGATGCTTAAAGAACTCGGACACATGGCGCATCCCTCAGCGATTGATCAACGCCGAGAGCTTTATCCTTTATCTATCTAGAACATTCTCCAAGTGGTTTACTGTCTAATCGTGGCTGGGAGGTGATCCTGGTCGGGCGACTATGTACAGCAGTGAGATTCATACTCCTGGCAGGATCTCCCATGCCGAGAAGGAGTTTGGCGTTTCCATCAGGAAGCGTAGCTAAGGGTAAACCAATACCCGGATCCACTACCGTCCTGGTATTAAACTAGTAGCATGGTGCTAAATCTCGCTCTGATCCACAAGAGCGACGACTAACTGTGGTGATGAAGATCTTTGGCCGAGTTTGGCCAGGCTGACCTCGGCATTCCAGGAAACCAAAATTGCTTCACCAGTAAATCTTCGAAGAAGTGGAGATTGTGTTGCGTCCGCATGACCAGCGAGGACGGACCGTTCCCGAATCAAGTATCAACCTGTATCGCCTAAGCCACCCGTAGTCCCGTTGATCGTTGAGTGACTCGAGCGGGCGCCAGTAAATCTTCTATTTTCCCTTGTCACGCGCAAGAGTGGCCCAGTGGGTTCTGCTCGCTCTAGGAACTCGTCGAGCATCATATCTTTCTTCTAGGCTTTTCGTTAACAACTATGACCAATGACTATTGGATCAGTGGTTTTCCTGCAGTGCGTTTGACATCCCGAGGAATCTAGTCACTAACGGACGGCTCTTGTCCATCGGTTGTCATTCATACGCATTACGTCTCGAGCCCACCTTATCTTCGACTGTTTGGAGTACAGAATGGCATCTTTGATTTTTGATCGTTGACGCAGATCAGAGCTCCGGATCCCAGCCCTTAGTTGTGTGGAACGGGATACTCCTAGCATCGTCCTTTCGACTGCGCGTTCGATAACGCTGTGACCTTTCATCATGCTTACGCAGCGACCAGGTTTCTGACGCATGTGTTAGAGCTGGAAGTACCATTGAGTCGAAAATGTGGGCACGGAGTCGGGTGTTCTCTGTTCTCTTCACTACAATCTCGATCCTGTTGAATGCTCCGCCAGCCGCTCGTTTCCATTTGCTCAGCTCTGGAGCTAAGTCGTTCATTATATTGATTTCCCGACCTAGATAGACATAACTGGAGCATTCGGAGATATTCGTTCCGTTCGGCGTGAATGGGGCATGCGAAACCAATCCGTTCTTCATGAACATCGTTTTTGTGAGATTTAGTCGAAAACCAATCTTTCCACAGGGATATCAATGTAGTCAAGCATACGTTCCGCTTGGCTAATGTTTGGTGTTATGAGGACGATGTAGTCAGCAAAGCGAAGATGATGTAACTGCCTTCCATTGATCTTCACTCCCATATTATCCCATTCCGGTGTTCGCATGACGTTTTAGAGGGTGGCGGTAAATAATTTTGGCGAGATGGTATCGCCTTGCCTAACTCCTCTTTTGACGTCAATGTTAATATCGTTGTAGAATTATTTCTCTACTAATCAAGTATCAAGTGTTCATCAATACTGTTGTTATTACCGGTATTATTATTGTCTTTTATTCATCTAGATTTAATTAATCAATTGCAGACCAGGAAGCGATTAAAGATACTGTGCAATACCTTTCACTGGACGCCGCCAAATTGGAACCACACTTGTCTGAGAAAAGCTCCTTTAAATCAAGACCAACGGCCGTCTTCGATAAACTCTTGAAATACCTAGTACGACTTTACCAAGATTTGGAGCGAATAATTTGGATCAGAATTCAACGACAATCATGAGCAAGTCCTCAAGTGATAGCCGAATCTACACGCAAATCTGTTTCGCGAAGGACGGATACGAGGCACTGAAGCATATGAAAGTACTGGGAACCAGATAATGCATGCAATCAGGAAATGTAAAATATTCTTGTTCACAATGCTTGACTTCTAATTACTACCAACACTTTTCTAGTGCCAGCATACTACGTAAAATACAACCACAATGATCCTGCAACATTTGCAAAATTCGGACACCGAGCCAGATTCGAACTCGCGATAACACTTTACGGAGACCTCGTGTTACGCGCATCACCACTAAAACTTTGCTTTCTCTCACCGATTTTCCACAAACTATCCTATCATGAAAAAGGGTTTGGCAGCAAATAAAAGGTTGGAACATTTTTATTTCCACGGCTGCTCACAAGAGGCAAGACATGGGCCTCGATGGGCATCACGTAAGCACTGGAAGTGGTAACCACGGGTTTGAAGCCCAGTTGAGGTTCCGAGCGTATCTCATATCAATCATCCTTGTGAGTATTTTTACTTATTTGGGTTCGGCAGTTTCTTGACGATCGGCGCCATCTTAACGAATATCGCTGAATGCTGGTGGAGTCCGCAGCCTTCGGATAGCCATCATGGAGTGCTCCCACGATTAAAATAAAGTAGAGCAGTAAATATGTTAATAATAGATACACCACCTAATAAATTAGAGCCATAAAATGGCTACTTCTCTATTTTCAGGACTCATCAAGAGGATAATGTGAATTGGTTGTCATGCACAACAAAATTCGACTCAGAATCAGAGGCTGGTTTACATGACGATCAAATGCTGATAAAATTCCAAAACTATTTCTCTGACTCTATCATATCATCGGATAAACTCTGATAAAAACAAAAACGTCGAGACGCTGGCCGAATATTTATCAACCTCGTATAACCTCAGCAATTTTAAATACATGTTAATTTTGTATGCCCCAATGCTCTACTGAGTCAGACGTAGATTGGTAAGATAATACAAAAGTATCGATTTAACAGCTGTCATGGCAGATCTTCAGGGGGTAATGTCGGTTTATAGAAGCCTTTAAATAATGAGACTCGCCATCTAACCGCATTAGCTTTTAGAACACACAGCAGATCTGATATCTGGTTGAAGTGTAGTCTTTTATCTAAAATTTAAGAAGTCATGAAACACTTTATGTTTTATATGGGCCTAGTAGAATACCATCCGAATCCACTATATACCGTATGATAATTTCATCCTGTTCAAGACCTTTTGTTCACTCTGTTGTTACTGTAAGACGTTGACGGGAGCCCATTGAGGGTATTGCTTCATTATTTCGCAAAACCAATAGATTTCACTCGCTGATATGTGAGATGCCGCATTTTCTTGGATATTCAGTGGTAAAACAAAATGTACACTGCTTTTAGTACTTCGAAATGAACAATTCCTGAGAGAATTACACATAAAGAGGCCGCGCTTCAACTGCTTTCAAGTAAATCAACAATTTCGGAGGAAACAGATCTCCGAACGACTGAGTGCAGCCACTACCACGTTAAAACTAAAGGAATTGAGTAGCACCTGACAAGATTGTCATGCTTGTGTAGAGCTTAACAGCGTTCTGCTTCGACTAGCTTTTTGCGCACTTTCAGAAATGTTTTCTACTTTAGTATGTGTCACTAGTTACCGAGAAAACTGCCGTTAGCAAATGACAGATGTATGTTCACAACGTACTGAAACTACCCAGTACTGGTAGCCTTGGAAAAACAAGAAAACTAAGTTTGCTTAATAGAAAATAAGAACTGCTACGTATTTTAAAAGTTCAAAAAACCTGAAGAACCGCAGAACTGGAGGCTAAACATTTCTCTGCAACGCTCGCAATTTATCTATTGCTTAAAGGTGTGATCCTGATTGCAACACTCCAGACAGCCGTCTATCAGTCATCTTCTATTAGTGCGATCACAGTCCTTCACAACTATTGTTTTTTACCACAATCATCGTTTTCATTGGTAGTTTTCACACATGAGAGACTGCCTGTGAAAAAATGTAAGTATAATCTCTCAGCGGTTCTATAAGCTCCGTAAAAAATCTGCGAGCTTCTAGTAACATTCGTTTTAAGCAGCAAACATTGTAGATAAAGTTTTTGGTACTAAATAGATGCAAGATCTCTTCAATGATAGCGAAAGAAACTGACACAATGGGAACTGAATCGCGGCGGCTGACTTATTTTCCTTGGGTCAAATCTATAGAATTGAAAGCAAAAAAATGTGGCAGTATTCATTTGGATTAGATGACTTCCAAGCCGTGTAGTTTATTGCCGCCTGCGGAAAATTGCACATTTTGACAATGAAAATGTACTGGGCCACAAACACAGTTTGGTTAGAAAATTAAGAACACAAAGAAAGATCATCGAAAACCGCAACGTCGGCTATATCAACTTCATAGGATAACATATAACACAAGTTATCGTCTTTTATCGAAACAAACTATTCGCAGAGGCAAAATGAGAGATATCTTCTTGGACAAACACTCCATCAAAAGCCGTGGCGAGCTTAGAACAGCTGGAAAAATCTACGTGATCGCAGAACCCAGGCCTCGGAATGATAGCATTCGAGCGAAACCTTGCCGTTGGCCATAAGTTTCGAGAAAACATTTGTGATTTCGAACAATTTGCAGATATCGTTGTAATCATGAGTTCCGTAACGAAGGTTAAAGCACAAATGTGTTTCTACCGTGAGCCCAATTGAGTGAACGCGTGCTTGAATAAATTAAAAGAACAAAAAACGATGGAGCTCTCGACGTTGATTGGTCAATCCCTGAAGGATGAGCCACTCATTCGACTTCAATAATATGTTAGAAGTGATTGGATGCATATC